TAATCTGTGTGTACGTAGCAGCATTTGCATGGTCTTGGGGGCCATTGGGGTGGCAGGTACCTAGTGAGATCTGCCCTCTAGAGATCCGATCAGCTGGACAAGCAATTAATGTCTCAGTTAACATGCTTTTCACCTTCTTCATTGCTCAAGCTTTCCTCTCCATGCTTTGCCACATGAAGTTTGGCCTCTTCTTTTTCTTCGCTGTCTTTGTAATAACCATGACTGTCTTCATTCACTTGTTCTTGCCTGAGACGAAGAACGTCCCAATTGAAGAGATGAACAGAGTTTGGAAGGCGCATTGGTTCTGGGGAAAGTACATCCCAGATGAAGCCGCCATTGGCAACCAAGCTTCGAGAGACGAGGCTGCTTGCTGAGCAAAAATGCAGCGCAATTGAAACCCAAAGGAAAAGTGAGCAAGCACGGAGATCCACTTCAACAAGAACAGGCACATTTGATTATCCCTCTGGTTTTAGAATTTGTTTCTTTACGAACTGAGACAATGGCAATTTGTATTGACTTCAACTCTTCAAGCCAATAAATAATTAATGGATCGGATCCATTATGTTACCCTGGATTATCTGTTTGCTCTTCTTCCCTCATAATATAGAGGGGCAACTCGTATAAATAAAAGCGTTGATAGATTATTGGGTTAGAGAAAATCTCCCAATTGAATGAGAAATTTTAAAAGCTTATATAAAGTACATATTTTAATTTTATATTACTAAAAATTTTAAATTTTACAAACGAATTAAAATATTATTATACTTGTTATTTATACCTTTTTTCTTAATTTTATTGATAAAGTTTAAAAATTTTAAAAAATGTATTTGATTTTTTTTATAAAAAAAGTATAATAATATTTTTTATTGTTTAGATAAAAAGAAAAAAAAGAAAGAATAATGCCAACATTGCCAAAGCTAAGGCATAAAACGCTACTATCGGAACTGGTTCTGTCTTCGTGTACCGAGTAGCGGGCAAACTTGAAAAAGCCACGAGTAGACTGGGGACTTTGCTTCCTTAGTCTGAACCAAAACATTGTTCATTTCTCATGGTTATGGCATTGTCAACGATCATAAAATCCCATCAAATTCTTTACAAATCAACCAAAGCAATTAAACTAAATTCTATTTTCATAGTCTCCTACAGAAACCTGTTTTTTTCCTCGTATCAACAAAGACCCATTTGCACTAAACACCAAAACGACAATTTTCTCTCTTCAGATCAGATTAACATCTCAAATGCCTTCATTTCTATTTTAATCAGGCAACCTTTTTCACCAAATAACCCAGAGCTCCAAAACCTCGTGCCACTACTCACCCATAAAGTTGTCGAAGCCGTAGTAAATAACCTCAGGAGCTGGAGAATAGCTCACCTGTTTTTCACATGGGCTTCAAATCAACGTGGTTATAAGCATGATATTTATACTTACAATGCCATGGCCTCAATTCTATCACGTGCTCGACAAAATGCTTTACTGAAAGCTTTGGCTTTGGATGTCGTGAATTCCCATTGTTCTATGAATCCTGGGGCTTTGGGTTTTTTAATTAGGTGTTTGGGGAGTGTTGGATTGGTTGATGAAGCTAATAACTTGTTTGATCAGGTTAAAAGATCAGGTATTTGCATACCGAATAGTTATAGCTATAATTGTTTGTTAGAAGCTTTGTCCAAGTCTGGTTTGATTGATTTGGTTGAGATAAGATTGAAAGAGATGAGAAGTTTGGGGTTGGAATTGGATAAATACACGCTGACCCCAGTTTTGCAGGTTTATTGCAATGCTGGGAAGTTTGATAAAGCTTTGAGTGTGTTCAATGAGATATTTGAGAGGGGTTGGTTGGATGAACATGTTTTTTCTATCTTGGTTGTTTCCTTTAGTAAGTGGGGTGAAGTAGATAAGGCGATTGAATTGATTGATAGTATGGAAGAGTGTAATGTGAGGTTGAATGAGAAGACATTTTTTGTTTTGATTCATGGATTTGTGAGGGTATCTAGAATGGATAAAGCTATTTGTTTGTTTGATAAAATGCGACAATTGGGTTTTTTCCCTAGTGTTTCACTTTTTGATGTGATGATTGGAGGGCTCTGTAAATGTAATGATCTTGAAAAAGCATTGTCTTTGTATTCAGAAATGAAAGAGTTGGGAATTGGTACTGATATTGGGATACTCACAAAGTTGATATCTTCTTTTTCTAAAGGAGGAGAGTTGGATCGATTGCTTGAAGAATGCTGGGAAGATATGAATTCACAAACGAAGAACCTGCTTTGCAATTCTGTTTTGGAAGGTCTTGTTCGTAGTGGCTCAATAGATATAGCTTACGATCTTCTTCAAGCAATAATGGGGTACAGCAGCAATGGTGATAGTGTCATTGTTAAGTACTTTAGGGATGAAAAGGAAATAATTACCCTTAATACTAATTCATTTACGTTTGTTATTAATGGCTTGCTTGATGCTGGTAAGCTGGATCTCGCACTAACTCTATTCAGAGAAATGGTTCAGTTTGGTTGTAATCAAACTGTATTACTTTATAATAATTTGATTGATGGGTTGTGTAAGTTAGATAGACTGGAAGAGAGTTATGAGCTTTTGAGAGAGATGAAGGAAGTGGGACTTGAACCAACCCAGTTTACCCACAACTGCATATTTGGGTGTCTTTGTCGGAGAGAGGATGTTGAAGGAGCACTTGATTTCTTGAGGAAGATGCGTTTTTATGGCCATGAACCATGGGTAAAGCATTCTACCTTGCTTGTGAAAGATTTGTGTAAACATGGGAAGGCAGTGGAAGCTTGCAAATTTCTCACTGACATGGTACAAGAAGGTTTTCTCCCTGATATAATTACATATTCTGCTGCTATGAATGGTTTGATCAAGATTAAATCAGTGGATGAGGGTTTGGAGCTATTCCAACTTATTTGCACTCGTGGGTATTGTCCTGATGTGATTTCTTATAACATAGTAATAAAAGCTCTTTGCAAGTCTCAAAGAGTTGCAGAAGCTGAGCATCTTTTGAATGAGATGATGTTGAAGGGGCTTGTGCCCTCTGTAGTTACTTATAATTATTTGATAGATGGATGGTGCAAAAATGGTGAGATTGACCAAGCTATGCTTTGCCTTTCCAAGATGTTCGGAAAAGAGAGGGAGGCAAATGTGATTACTTATGCGACTTTAGTTGATGGATTATGTAATCTTGGAAGACCTGATGACGCTCTAAAGCTATGGAATGAAATGGGGAGAAAAGGATGTGCTCCCAACAGAATTGCTTATCATGCTCTCATTAATGGACTTTGTAAATGCGGTAGGTCCTCTGCAGCTTTAGTTCATTTCAATGAGATGAAAGAGAAGAATATGAAACCTGACTGCTATGTCTATATAGCCTTAATAAGTGCTTTTCTATCCGACACAAACTTACCCTCTGTTTTTGACATGTTAAAAGAGATGGTTGATGGAGGAAATTTACCAGATCCACTAGATAAGAACTTTCTTATCATAAGAGATGCAATTTGTAAATTGTCAGAAGATGCCAGAACATCCTCTAGCATAAAAGATCTTATAGCAGAGGGCAGGATTCCGGATGTTAGTCTTGATATGCATAGGCCCACTATTTGAAATGGAGTCAATGAGATTGTAGTCTTGTTATCAGATGCAGCATAATGAAATAAGGTAAATTTCTTCCATTTTTCACGCACCATTGTGGATTGGAACTAAACTGTATTGGTGGCATCAAGCTCAAAAGCTGAGAACACAGAAAAGTGGAAGCCACAGATCAGTTGAGGTTCATGGTCATGCTAATGACTTGGCTGACCGTGCCGCTTCTTAGGGTTTTGATGGAACATTTTCCGTGCTCTCTGAGCTCTTCTCCAGCCTATCTACCTGGTCCCTTATCGTCTGTTGGATCAGCAGCAGAACCATTGTCATCTTCTGGTTCATCAATGGATTTGATACTTCACGAAAGGATTGATGGTAACATCAGTTAACGCCCTGGCTAAAGCACTAACATAGGTATGTCTACAACTCCAAATCCACCGCCCAGAACCTTAAATGTTCAGAAAGATCTTTCTGAACTTATTACTTTTTTTGGCCCATTATTATGTTCCTTCCTCCCAAATGGGGTTAAGTTTTGCTGTCAATGGTAGGTTTAAATACTCAGAATGTTGTGTCACCAATGACTCAACCAGCAGATTCTTTTGTAAAAAAAAAAAAATTCCCTAATTGACTGATTAAGGGACCTTTTAATTGTTCAGAGCTTTTGGTATTTGTTTTTCATTACAAAAGTGATGATCACTGAATGATTTTTTCTCCTTATCAATATTCAAGTTAATATTAAGCAAATATAAGTATCATAACTATATTTGAGATGCAAACCAGGAATAAGTCACCTGATTTTGATAGGAAGCAAAGAGGAAGAGAAGAAGGTGCGGACAATACTAATACGGAGTCAGTAAATGGGTACAATAAAGAAGGTTCAGGACCGAAAACATGGAGGAGATGCCACGGATCTGTCTTTTAAACCAACAGAGAGACATTTGATCTTGGCATGGGGAACTTTACGAGCATAGATGCACCCATCTGGATCATGAGCTCAGCCTCTTCTTCACACTGAGCAGTGAAAGTACCCCGTACTGGCCTCTAAACGGACCCAAAATAATTCACAAGGAACCCCTTTCCACGACCGTTTCATTGTCTCAATAGTAATTTTTTTCTGTAAATTTAAGAAATTAAATAGGGGCAAATTAATTTTAGTGCCAGCTTAATGACCAGCTCATATTCTGTTTCAGAAATCCAAGCTACTCCCTGTTTGCAATCTAATGATGAGAAAAACCAGCGTCATTGCTCTATAAAACTATACTAATGTTAATACATCCTTGACCATCCCAGAGACAAGTAGCCTGCATGTGAAAGTTTCAAAGCTTTCATGGGGGTGCCACAATGAGCATATGAAACACAACTTTCACCTGTTTTTTACAGCCCATTAGTTCTTCACTCTTTCAAATGACAAAGGGTAATATTAATTGTCAATTATTTGTAACAGGGTGATTCTTTGATTAAAGTTTACAGGTAAAGGCAAATTGAAAATGTCCCATTTAATTAATTATGTCCATGAATGTAATGAGATACGTACTTCGTGATTCAAAAAGTATTGATTTTTTATTTAAAATTTTATTTTATTTTTGATGATTTAAAATTTAATATGTTTATTGGAAGAGGTATAATTTTTTATTGTAAAAATATCTGTACTTTTAGAATGACATATTTGTTTACGAATAGGTGTGTCTGAATGAAGAAGATATAATTTTTGATTTGTGGTGTTTTTTCAATTATTTCATAACTTTTGAATTAAGATAATTTTCTGTGCTAAGAGATAATTCTTTTATTTTGAAAATACACCACTACTTCGTGTGTTTTTCTTTTATCTTTTCGATTATAAATTCTAACAAAAACTACCAATATACCATGGTGATGGCTAACAAGATCTTGGAAGATAACGCGAGGGACGACCACGCGGAGCTTCTCCATTTCAAGAGAATGGCTCTAGTTTCATCCTTGGCACGTACATCCACCCTTGTATACTATTGCTAACAAAGCATGGCATCAGGAAAGGAAAGTGACTCATGGCACATGCGCGCCTTCACCGCTATCCCCTTCGGCTCTTGCATCGCGTCATACACGAAGGGCTTAATAATGTGATTCAATGCAGCATTGTCTTGGTTTGACAGTAAAACAAGGTGTTTGCAATGGAGGCAATTGGGATTAGCTAGCGACGATGGACAAGATTACAACTATGGAGAGGTGATGGTTGAGAGGTTGGTACTAGAGTTATTATGGTTTACCTATAAACTCAAGATTTAAGGGGATGTCAATGATGCTTTGTTGCAACGGAGTTTTGCTTCTAGTTTGGCTTTTTGTACCCCTTTCAGCTAGTCCCAGAATTCAGGCTTGCATTTTTAAGATCTTAGGTCATGCTCCTCTCCAAGGCTTTCATTAATCACATTATGGCTTTGAGCCATATAAGCTGAAACTAAATAAATGAATACTGAATTATTCAACCCAAGTGTTCTTTTTTCCCTTCATTTATGCAGCTTTAGTATTCCGGAGTTGACTCGAAAATACTTGGATGCAAGTAAAGTTCCGGTTGCGGGTGTTTTGCATTCAATTGTTTTGCCATGTTAGCAATGGGCTTGCCTATTCTGTCTTAAGAAGGCAGAAAAAGAGAAAGCAATAGACGAAGTAATCTCCGGTTTCACTACAATGGATCAAGAAGTTATTGTCACCGATCGACTTCAAGACTATCCTGTATCTATCATCTCAGATTGGCTAAATCTTTGATATTGTCGTGATGGCTGGTGCCAATCTACTAGCAAACTAGTTACATAAAGACAGAGCAATGGAACCATAGAAATAACTTCATGATGCAGTTATTTTGTAGCTTCCTTCCTCCTTCTCCAACTTATTACAATTGAATGGTACTCATGTCATTTACCAAGCTATCTAAAGCTAACCTGGAATGCAGGGGATTATGCCATTTAAATGATAAAAAATTGAAGTCGCTGATGTGATTATTTTGTGGTAGCTAACAACTCGGGACCCGGAATTTAATCACATCAACGCATTCATTTTTGTAGATTAACTTTGGGAGTTGGATTGCTGTGCCTTATTCTCTCTCAAACAGGGCCCCATAACTTTCTGGCCTGATTCAGGCCCAAAGTTATTATTCTTATTAATTAACTAAAACAATACTCTTTAATTAGATTTAATTTTACATAAATGTGGAAAATATTTTTATTCTGAGTTTTTTTTTTAAAATATCTTGTTTCACCTTTTTCTTTTTCTTTTAATTGAAATTGAAATATAATGCTTTCCGTCAAGTAAAGGACCGGGAAATGGGGTGATCCAAGTGGGCTGATTTTGACGGGCCTGAAGCAACCACACACGCCTACCCAAACAAAAGAGTTCCAACCAATTCAAGTCGGCGCTTCTTGTTTACGTGGCAAGCTACCATTGGGTGCGTCAGCTGAATGTCTCCATTAATTGCTCGTATGAATCAAGTCCGCGTTGGACAAATATCAGAATTCCTAGTAAGCTTGACTCGACAGGATCCCGGCCTCTGGAACCGTAGTAAGTAGCATAGCAATCTCTCAACCTCTGTCGTTTCTTTTCTTTTCTTTTCTTTTCTTTTTTTGATTCTCATATTTCAAAGCAAAATTTAAAAAAAAATAAGAAAAGAAAAGAAAAATTGAAGTTTCTCCGTCAAAGAAAAGAAAGACTCCTCCACCCAACGAGGCCTCTTTCTCCTCCGTCCCTCTCTCCAATCATTCGTGTCTCTCCTCTTTTTATCTTTGTTACATTCTTGAATTATCCCCGATTCGATCGAACCCACCCCGATCTCTCCTCTTTACATTCCCAATAAGCCCACCGCTTTCTCTGTTTCTCTCTCTCTCTCTTCTTTTTCCATCTAAAATCTATCTTCGGAAGAACAACGACGAGGAAAAGCAAAGTGAAATCGGCAGCTTTCGGTTAGGGAGGAAGGCAAACATGTCGAGCGAACCGAAAGAACAAGAACAAACCCTAACGGTGACGATAATGATAATTTGAACAATGAAAGTGAACATGTAGAAGAAGAAGAAAAAGAAGAAGAAGAAGAAGAAGAAGCAGAGGATACACGTCAGTCATCGACCAGAACTCCTTTCACTAATCTCAGTCAGGTCGATGCTGACCTGGCTCTTGCTCGAACCCTACAAGAACAGGTTTTCTTTTTTTTTTTTAATATTCAATTCTTGGTTTATTACTTTAAAATTTGTTGTTTTTGTGTGACTTATTTATAAAATTACTTTTTGTCTCCTTTACTTGTTATACATTTGTTGTAGGAAAGGGCATATATGATGCTGAGAATGAACAATGATGGGAGTGATTATGGAAGTTGGGAGGCTGGAAGCTATTTACATGATGACGATGATGATTTCGGGGATCCCCATGATCATGATGATACTGATGGGGATGGGGATGAGGAGGAATATGATGGCACTGATGCTGATGATGATGTGGATGCGTTTGATGTGCATGCTCATGCTGAGAATGGGGAGGAGGATAACAACCCTAATGTTGAATTCGACCCGGCTGTTTTTTCAAGTGATGAGGCATATGCTAGAGCGCTTCAGGATGCTGAAGAAAGAGAAATGGCTGCTAGATTGTTGGCCTTAGCTGGGTTAAATGATAGTGAGTCTTTATAACTATGAGATTCTTGTTCATTGTTTCAAATTTATGCCAATGTCAAGAGTGTTTACTAAAGTTTTACTATTTTGCAGGAGGAATTGTTACCTTAGAGGATCATGGTGGTAACTCTCAGGTTTGAATTCCTGTAAATATGATTCTCAAACCAATTTTGCATGCATATATATGAATCTTTTCGCTCATTCAAGGAATAAAATTTTTGATCTAATTAATAGTTTGCAATTCAGTGTCTTCTATGTTATTGATATCTCAATTCAGTGTCTTCTATGTTATTGAGATATCAATTCAGTGTACTCTATGTCGCCTTCTTTGCTAGCATGACTCTATAGCTGAATTTTTTTATTGGAGCAGTGATTTAAAGTTGTCATTTATGGGGTATTGCTCTTGGAACTGATTTTAAAATGGATGGCTTTTGCTTAATCTGGGCTTTGGTCTTCATATAAGTGTATTATGGTTAGAGTTTTTGCCACATTTGTTTCCAAGAGCATCTTAACCAGTAAGTAAGTTGTGTCCTCCTACCTAGAGGAAGAGTGCTTTTGTTTCATGTGGTGCATAATACCGATATTTGTAATGGAAAGAGTTAGTAGTTTGCCTCTTTGAATCTGGTCATCTGTTTTCTCTATTTGTCTAATATTATTTTATTCCTTCACTATTAAATAAAATACATGAACTGATGTATGTGACATATACCAGTTGTGCATGGTTGCATGTGTGTTTGTAAATACTTAGGTGGTCATCTATTCTAATTTTGCATTCATCTTACATGCTTGCAAGGTAGAAAACTGTAATAATATATCAGGAAGCATGTCGGGTTTTCACTTCCTTTATCACAGAGATCTTCACTTGGAAAATTTTGAATCTTCACAAATGTGTATCGTTATAGATAACTAAATTGTATTTGTGCATGGGTAGCTAATATATTATTAATAAGAGTTTTTATTGGAATGGCACTAAAGCAAAAATCTTAGCAAGTTATTTCCAATCTGATGCCTGGGATGTGCCTACATTGGGGTTCTACTCTTGCCATCATTAAATCACAATGGCCATCAAATTATCTCATATTTTAGCTTTTGAGTATTTTGGTGAAACGCACATGCTAAATTTACCACTTGTTTCCCTCTCTTGATGGTCACCTCATATCTGCAATTAGAAAAGTGTAAATCATCCATTTGGTTCATCTTTAAATTGTTATAAGCAGGGTTTTACATTCAGCAATCCTTTCTTTTCTCTATGTCTGAGGCAGAGGATTATGCCTCTCTCTCCATTTTTGTGGTTGATAATCTCATGTCTGGTTCTGTTTTACCCTGTTGCATGGGCCAGTGGTTTATATATTCTACATGAAATGGTTCTTTACATTTAGAACTTCTCCTTTTGGGAATGGTCTGGTGATATATTGAACTAAAAAGTCTGTGTTGAGTATTTAAAACAGTCAACCTTTTTTTGTAGTTACAATGCTGAGAATAATAGCTGTGCACAGCATGAAAGGCAAGGATCATGTTGTGATTGGTTCAAAATTTGTGGTTGTTATATGTTATAGTTCTCAACATATTTTCTTGGAAACTCACTGTTGGATTATATGTTTTGTTTTGGTGCCCATAGTGATTGTTAGATATCTAGTTCATTGTTCAATAGAAGCTAGTCTTGTTTACACTGCTCTTAATGAGATTTTACTAGGAATTTTAATGAAATAGCAAATGCATGTACAATTACCTTGACATTTGGCATGCAGGAAAGAACAAAATTTTTTTTAAAGCAGTGCTGGGCCTTATTACTTCACTTTATTTCAAGCCTGAGTCTTTTGGTGACATGCATTTGCAGGATACATGGGAGGAAGTTGATCCTGATGAGCTTTCATATGAGGTAGGCTGGGCTGTAGATTCTACTGCTTTAACTCTTTGCTTAAGCATTCTTAGTAAACATGATTCTATCATTCAGGAACTCCTTGCCCTTGGTGAAGTAGTTGGAACTGAGAGCAGAGGGCTTTCAGCTGATTCAATTGCCTCCTTGCCTTCAGTAACATACAAGGCTGGAAGCAGTCAGGCTGGAAGCAATGATTCGTAAGTTTGAATGCCGTAACCTTTTTATGCCTGAACTTTTTTCACTTGATAAATAAATTTGTATCCTTGTTTTCAGATGTGTCATATGCCGTGTAGATTATGAGGATGGTGACTCCTTGACAGTGCTTTCTTGCAAGCATTCATATCATCCTGAGTGCATAAATAATTGGTTGAAAATAAACAAGGTATGCTTATTTACACTTGAATTTTACTGCCTTCAATTATTTTGTGTCGTATAGTGTTTATAAAGTATTAGTGGTTTGTGAGGACACTCAAAGTAACTTCCTGCTAATGTTTTCATCAAAATACATCTGACCACTTTAGTTTTTCTTTCCTGTACTATTGTTATATTGTACATGACCTTAATAATATGCTTCCAGAACCTTTTATAGACATATAATTTGCAATGCCTTGGGTGCCAAATAATGTATTACTGTTGTCATTGCAGGTCTGTCCTGTTTGTAGTGCTGAGGTCTCTACCTCGGGCTAGAGATAGTATTTTTGAACAATCTTCTTCCTCAAGCCACAAGGCACCTGCTTGTTTTAATACGCAGAAATGCACCATGTCCTTATGGGAAAAGACTTGTATCACCAAATCTTCTTGCCTGTATCCATTCTCTGTTAACTTCTGTGATATACCCCCTTTGGAATTAGTTTTACTGTCTTATGGTCACTGGCCGGGCTTTTTAGAGAAATGACAATCTTCCTCGCCTGATTATCTATTTCTGCAAAGAAATTGGAACTGCATCTCCATGGTGTTTATATTTTCGGTCGAGGAAACATCACATAAATGCAAGTTTTTAAACCATAATGCTTGTCATTTCTTTTGGTCGAAAGAGTGAATCAAAGATACAAATACTGCTTTCTTTCCAAGAGATTAATTCAAGCCAAGCCAGGGTTTCTAAAAATCTTTCTCCTAAGGGGCGCTTTAGCTGATTGGCCTTGGGCCCATTCTTTATGTCTTGGACAGCTAAAAGTCGATATATAGTAGACCCATGGATCTCATGTAGCAAAGGTAACTCAAGAAAAATGGCACAATGAATAAAAGGGGTACCATAGGAATATTCCAACGAAAGTCTTTTAGATTTTCAAATCAAGTTCCAGTTCCTGTAAATGTGGAATGTTCCAAGCTCTTATTACCAATCTTGGAAAGTGCAAATCATTCTCTGAACTAAAGCAAATTCATGCATTAGTAATAACTTTCGGCCTCTCTCACCATGACCCTATATCAACAAAACTTCTTTCCGTCGCTGCTCTTTCCGATACAGGTAACGTCGATTACGCATATCGGGTTTTTTCCAGGCTACCCACTTCTAGAGTCTTTAATTGGAACTCCATCATCCGAGGTTACTCCAACAGTAAAAATCCAAACAAATCAATTTCGGCTTTCATTAATATGTTGAGAGCTGGAGTCTTCCCTGATCATTTAACTTACCCTTTTCTGGTCAAGGCATCTGCTCGTCTTTTAAAGCCGGAACTCGGTGGTGCGATTCATTGCCACGCTTTAAAGAATGGGTTCGAGTTAGATAAGTTCATAAACAATTCGTTGATTCATATGTATGCCTCTTGCCGTGACATAGTTTACGCGCGTCGGGTGTTTGATCAGTTGCCTATGAAAAATATTGTTTCGTGGAATGCTATGTTGGATGGTTATGCTAAGTGTGGGGATATGGCTTTGGCGCGTCAGGTTTTCGATTGGATGCCTCAGACGGATGTTGTTTCGTGGAGTTGTTTGATTGATGGGTATGCTAAGAGTGGGGATTATAAGGAGGCGTTGGCAGTTTTCGAGGGAATGCGGGCATGGGGTCCCAAGGCTAATGAGGTAACTATGGTGAGCGTGTTGTGCGCTTGTGCTCATCTGGGTGCACTCCATCGAGGAAGGTTAATGCATTGTTATGTGATGGACAATGGATTGCCAATGACTTTAGTTTTGCGTACTTCTCTTGTTGATATGTACGCTAAATGTGGGGCAATAGAGGAAGCTTTGGATGTCTTTCGTGGGGTTTCTAATTGTAAGAGTGATGTGTTGTTGTGGAATGCTATGATTGGAGGGCTTGCCACTCATGGATTGGTTAAAGAGTCGCTTGAATTGTTTGCGGAAATGCAAGTGGTTGGGATTGTCCCGGATGAGATTACTTACTTGTGCTTGTTGAGTGCTTGTGCTCATGGTGGATTAGTGAAGGAAGCTTGGTATTTCTTTGAGTGTCTTGGCAAACACGGGATGACTCCTAAGAGTGAGCATTACGCTTGCATGGTGGATGTCCTGGCTCGAGCAGGGCAGGTAGCAGAGGCGTACCAGTTTCTATGCAAAATGCCCATGGAGCCAACGGCGTCATTACTGGGTGCTCTGCTAAATGGGTGCTTAATATATGGAAAATCTGATCTTGCAGAAATAGTAGGAAGGAAGCTAATTGAGTTGGACCCGGATCATGATGGTAGATATATTGGCTTGTCAAATGTTTATGCAGCTGTCCAGCGATGGAATGAAGCAAGAAGAATGAGAGTGGCCATGGAAAGAAGAGGAGTGAAGAAGTATGCTGGATTTAGTTGTGTGGAGATGCCTGGAGCTCTTCATAGCTTTGTAGCTCATGATGAAACACATCATAATTCAGAAGACATTTATACGATGCTAAAATTTATTGTAAGCCAAATGAAACTTGATGTTCATAAGGATAATCAAGAATATCTTTTGTATGAAATGAAATGTAGTTGAGTGCATGCTTTCATTTCAATAAATTTGGCCAAAGGAATAATTAGATTTCCAGAGGTTGCCTCTGATTTTCTTTTGATAATTCAGTGATATGGATTATACATAGAGAGATCAATCCTTTCCATCGCATTTAGCCCTTAATCTTCTGGTGAAGGTCAGACAACCATCCATAATTGCATGATTAAACTTAAACCACAGAGCTTTGCTTTCTCTAACAATTAGGAGAGCCTAAGGTTGTACTATGTCATCTTAATATTGGCGGATGGGAGGGGTGAGATTCCATTTTTTAGTTGTTGATTCAACCACTAGAGTTACCAAAGTAGTATAGAATGTCATTGAACGTGTTCTCTCTTCCTCTCAGAAATTCCATTGCAAATATTTATTAACTTTTAGTAAATCATACTTCTGTCAATAGCATAGTACATGAAAAAGGGAAAAAAATTCAGAAAAACACACAGAAAGGTTATTAATCTTGAGTTGGATGTTTAACTTAAGAAACATGAAAGCATAACACACTACCTAAAACAAACATATCAGAAATAACTCTCTAGTAGATTTATGAACATAAGACTTGATTCCAATGCTGAGTTGCTGTCCCTGTCCGAGTATACTATATCCTCTTTTAATCCAGGAAACTCTTCTCATAAAACCTGCTCATTCTGCAGAATTGTAATTAAAAGGCTGTCACAAGATGTCCTGATACTGAATACAAGTTGCAAACAACTGAAAAGAGATGGATTTGGATGACTAACATTCGGACAATTGATTTTCACTGGATGCACTTTCTTTAGCAACTTCTATTAACAATCCATGCAGACATTTTCATTGAATCATTTATTTTGTTTAGGGAAATGTAGTTACAGTTCATATATTGAGCAACTGCCTGTTTGCCTATCACTTTAAACTAGTTACACTTGTTTTAAGATTTCAACAAGCCAACTGATTTTGTTCTAATTAATAAAGTCTGAGGTTTTAACTTGAGAACAGTAAGAAAAACCAGCATTGATGAGACTACTGCACTGTCGATGTAAGAAATATGGTGACTAAATGGTGATGATTATACCTTTGCTGCAATGCTAGACGTTTGAATCTTGAAGGTTGGGCTGAGCAAGCTGGAGCTGATATGAGTGAAACTGTTGAGGAATGGTTGCAAGCTGAAGCACACTACTGGGTTCTCCATAGAAGGGGAATTGATCCAGAACTTGCTGATGCTCCACCGGCTTCGCTTCTATTCCTCCCTGTTGATACTCTATTGCTGCCCGGTGTTCCTGAATCTGTGTGGTCACCAGGCAAACCAACTCAAATAATTTTTTTTTATTGCCTAATAAAAGTCCCATTTAATAACTCTTGTCCCTAACCTTTCCTCTATTTCATCAGAACTTTAACATCATGGATAATCTACAAAATTAGTGGTTTTGTTGTATGAGCTAATTAGTATTAATTCACGTGAATTCTTTACTTACCCAGCGGTACATGTTGCTGTTTTCTTCCTCTAGTATTCGCTCCTAGACATCCAAAGTCAAAAATAAATTAGCATTCAAATTACTTTGAATGTGAGTGCAGGCGCTTTTGTCAGTGTGCATGAAGGAAAAAAGTGTCATTGTATCACCTTTCTTCGTAGATTATCCAGCTGTTGTTGCAAGAGCTCATTCTGCAATATTCCAATCCAAACAAATGGAAAAACAGAAATGTTGCCGTATGGTAAGAAAACATTCAAAGAATCAGTTCTCAAGAAATATTCTTAGTTGAATGAAAAGAGTCAAAGACAATTACTGTTTCTAAACTTTGATCATTAATTCTCAGTCATTTCTTTAGTTAAATATCATTGAGATTTTGGTTGGAAGAGTGGGAAATTTAAGTACATGATGGAAGATGATAAACAGTATACCTTTCGCTCTCGGACCTTGTTCACAGAACGTTCAAGTTCTTGTTCAAGTTGATCCAGCTCTTCAAATGGTATGGAGCTCATGTCCTCGCCAGTGTAGCGTCGCATGCTCAATTGAAGACGACGGGTTTCTTTCCTCAACACTGCCAATTCATTGTACAAATGTTCCTACGTAGAAAATGAAAAGGGTAAGACAAGAACATACCAAATCAAACTTTAAGGGCCTAATAACAATCGTAAGTCCTGAATGACTCTTACTCGGTTGTCATGCTCAGGAATGCGAGTCCCAGTGACTTTCTGGTACCTTTCTATGATTTGCTCCATTCTGTTACAATATAGCAAGATAGGAATAGGAATACTTAGTGATTAAAAAAGGAAAAACATTAAGGCCTAAGTTAGCACACTGATTTCAGTCACTATAAAGGTCTTGCTAGTATATCGATATGAGGCTTGATAACTGCCTCGGGCAGTAATTCTGTCTAAAACATCTCCTGCCTAGTTGGCCTTAGCCATTATTTTGAAAACAAAAATTGTTCTATTTGATTATATCTTTGTAATAAAAAGTTGTTGTTCCTGGAATTTGCTTGCCCCGAAAGGCTCTAGCCATGGAATAGGCATCCAATTGCTGATCCCTGCATGTCTAGCTGCATGCTCATAATTTAGAATGTTATGCAGTCTTAGAAACTTTAATCAGACGCATATAAAAGGTTTTAAAATGTTTGTGTCTCAGCAAGTTCATAATTCACATCATTTCAGAGGGTTGTGCATGAAAAATTAACTTAGATTAAACAGTTTAAAATGCTATGGATGTTTTAGGCAGCATTTAATTCCTATATAGCATATATCATATATGCATTGTGCATGCTGGCGTCTTAAACTCCTAAGTAATGGAAAGTGTACCAAGATAGTTATGAACTAGTAAATGAATTCATCATTAATCCTCAGAAATCAATATATACTTCCCTATCAAAGGCTTCAGTATATATGCAATAATGAATATATCCCACATGGGATAAATCAATTTGAATTAATTTAAAATAATAATAATTCAGTTTAAATTACTTTGCCTAACTTGTGCTAGACAAGAGGTAACTAATTTTAATACTGTTACATTATTAACAATGTTTAACAGGCCTACAATTCTATTATTGAATCTCTCTCGAGGATGCTATTGCCATAGAGATATTCTTCAATTAAGGATATGAATCTCAGATTCTTTCTTTTTGAAAAAAAAAGAGTAAGTATTATTTAAAAAATGCGAGAAAAATTAGTGTGTATAATTATAACTAGACTGTAGTCAGTGAATTATGAAAAGCAGGTATTATCAGGTAGAGAACAGCAGATCATGAAACTGAAGCATAACCATCAGAAAGTTGGCTTAGGCATGGAAGAAACCCTAGTCTGTGAGAACCATGGAGGAGCAAATCGAAACCAAATCTTGGTCAAATCAAATCCTGTCAAGCATTCAATGGAGAAGACAGAGAGAGAGAGAGAGCAGCAGCAGCAGCCTCAAATGAAACTCAGGCCAAGTCATCGGATCATGAAAAAAGTTAGCTTTCTTCTAAGCAATATATGTAATATTCATGCAAACCCTACAAAAAGAAAGTAAATACGAGAAAAGAGTTAAGGAGAATAAGGTAGAGACCGGTAAGGCTCACTGCAGTACTGGCACATCTTGCCAGTGCTAGAGAAGATGATGAGCCCAATCTGAGCATCGCAAAGCACAGAAAGCTCGTGGGTCTTCTTCAAAAGCCCAGCTCGCCGCTTTGAAAAGGTGACTTGTCGAGTTGTCTGGTTCTCAATCCTCTTGATCGGTATCTTTCCACGTCCCATATTTACCCAACACCCTTAATCTTTGTCTATCTCTAGTTAGGGAAACATGAAATCAGGGAATTATACTCTCTTTTTCACTTCTAAAAACCACAAAAGGTGCAAAGCGTTTAGGTCACAAATAATAATGGAAAAAGAAGGAGAAACAAAAAATAAGAAAAGGGTTTAAAAATAAATAAAAGCTCCCTTAATAAAGAACAAGTTCAAATATGGGAGTTGTAGACACAAAGAAATGTGATGATAAAATGGAAACTAAAAGCTTCTGCAACCTAAAATAAGAACTTTGTAGTTTGTAGTTCATAAAACAGGAAGGGGAGAGAGAATAGAGAGAAAGAGAAAGAGAAAGAAAGATGACTGTGTTTACCTATTCCTTGCCTCGTAAAACTGCAGCTCTTTTGGTGAAGCGTGTAGGAACAAGGAATTTATTCTATAAGGATGCTACTTTACCATTTCTAAAATCCCCATCTCTTTCAGCAAAACTACAAAATTGCACCTATCTCATGCATGCTTCATTTCCCATTTATAAAAAAAGATATATAGTAAGAGACAGAGCCAAGGCAGGCTAGCTCTTCCCACTGCTGTCTTGTTTTTTGTATAAGACAAACTCCTTGCTCGCATCACAGACCAGGGAGGGTTCATAGTCTCAATGTTTCACCACACCACATCGGATCGTCAATCCCTAGAACGGCTTCGTTTCATGCTAGGATGGGAGTGGCATTATCAGTAATTGAATTGCAATAAGTATTCCTTTATTGTCCTCTGCGGAAACATAGACAGAAGGTTGCTGTGACTCTTAACCACTCTCTGATCTCATCTGCCAAGCAACCTGAAATTTACCAAATTTAGAAATATTTTTACAATGAGGAGAAAACTATGGCAATCTGAAAAGGGAAATTCAGGAGGGGGGGTCCGCCAAAATCCTAGAGACCCCTAATGGGAAACGACAAACTGTAACAATCCATGAGAAAGACTTGTACGCGTAGTTCATGGTATGGTCCTTGAGCATCACAGCAACTTGAGGAAAAAATAGAGGTAAAGATGAAGGTGATTTCCTTTTCTTTTGCGCTTATTAAACCTTAAGGATGAAAAGGTTAAACTTCCTTTTTTTGCTGTAAATAGTTCCCTTTCGAAGCACTAATCAAAGCCCTTCCATGTGGTCTATCCTCCACTTTTTGACTGCAAGAAATGGTGATACAGCAAGTATTCACAACACGCAATTTGGAAAGTACATCAAAAGTCATTGTGCTGAAACACCAAACTTTGATGCAATGAACAACCAGGGAGTATGATCTTCTGCTTTCTCACACTTATACATTTAAGATGCTTTAAAGAATTGCCAATGAGGCCTCGATCTTCCCATTTTAATTCCCACCAAATAACGATCGAATACCAACCAGATAGAAAGCAGTTAATTATGGAGCCGAGAAAAAAAGCAGTTTCAGTTCAACTATTATCATCATCAGAAACTGTTCTTTAACTGTGTTTCCGAATTCCGACTTTCCAAAGTGCGTTTTTATATCAAATCCTCAGAGGGCATAGACATGTATAATTACCAGCTTCATATATACAACAAGTATAATGTGGAACATGTAGTAACTGCTGTTTCTTTGTAAAATTTGCAGTTAACCCCATGAGTCATTTTACAAAGTGGAGCCGTGATATCAATGCCTTGGTTAGAAAATGAAAACGCTTGGCCTTTTGATGATCGCTTTGGGATTCTTGTTGAGCCGATAAGGGTTGTGTTGTGTAATCAGCATTTGTCCCAGTCTATTTTTAGTAACAAGCCCTAGCCAGACAACGCATGTTAGGTTTTCTAAATGAGGATATGGTAAGGCTGGGCATTGGTCCCCCAAAGTTTGTCTAGCATGTCATTGCTAGTCAGCATCATAATATCCCACTTAAACTGCAGTTACCAGCCATCTTCACTGAAACAACCTCTCTTTTAGAACCCGTTGAGTTGAAATCCTCAGCAAGTCGAATACAATTATTTAATTATTTTTAGAACTATTGAAGTGGGGGTCTTTATTTATTTATTTATTTTATATAAAATTTGAAATAAGAAATGTGGAAGACTATTTCAGTGAAGGTCCAGTGGAAACTGAAGAAAAACGAAATGGAGAACATGGGGGCTTTCCATAAATGGGAAGCGTCGCAGAAGCGGTTTTAGGTCCACTTCAGCCCTCATGTAGGCCTCAGATTCACGTGGCCCTTGCAGGCATCTAAATTTGCATCATGTTTTCATGATGATTACCATTTTCCACTACATAAAGCAAAGTGGTAGCCAAAGAGATGCGCAGAACCCGGGTGAAATTTTCTCCTTTGGGCTTAATTATATGAGATTAATTACCATTCTGATAGGATTAGTTTGACCAAACTTACTTCTTTCAGCATCAATATGCACCCAAATCCATTTTGGTAATCTATTTTTCTATCATATTATCAATCAGAATTTCACCCCCTTATGACTTGTTAATTCCCTCATAAATCTTTATATTTTAAACAATATAAACTCACTCTTAAGTCTTAAAATCTGAATAAATTAAATCGATTCAACACATTTATTGGTCACCAAGTAAAATACTTCATGGAAAATTTCTTTAAATATATTACTGCATATGTGGATAAAACAGAGTTTGCTGAGACCTAAGAATAGCAGATTCCAAGGAAAATATGTCCATGCCCTGTAATGGCATGTTTGGTTGAAAGAATGACTAAACCAAATCCCCTCCATTTTTAAGGAATTTGTTTCTTTATTTGGTTATCACATGCTTCAAGGAGAAATGACTATTCTTCAAAAGCATCTAAAATCAAGAAATAACTAATGTCAGCTCTTACCCAAGTATTAACCATTCCTTAGTTTAGGAATAGTTTAAAAAAAAAATAAAAACTAAAACATCCCTTACAAGTTTGAAATACTACATATTATATATTATAAAAAAATAATATTTTAACTATAAAAAGTAATTAAAATCATTAATATTTTAATTATAATAACATTTAAATTATAAACAAAATATTAATATCTAAAATAAATTAAAAATTATATATTATAATAAAGAGTATTTTTATCTTTTTATCCTCTATTTCTTTATTATTTTAGAATTATTTTTATTAACTAAAGATTACAATAAGTTATAATAATAATTTATACCTTATTTTATTTTATCAACTACATTAAACAATAACATTTTCAGTCCATTCCTACCTTATTCTATTCTCACAAAATATTTATTCTCTTCTGCAAATCAAACATACCATAAGTTCAACTTCATATATAATAACTCTGAAAAACATATAATATGGATTTGAAAAGCAGACTTGTTGCCATTTTTGGTAGACCTAACTTTAGTGAGCTAAAGCCAGTACTCCAATATAAATACGTGGTGAAAACATCAGTAGCTACAAAAACAGCATGTGCTTGCCTATAACACTTATCAATAGCACTTGAACCTACATACATTACCAGGCTCTAGCTGAGAGCCCAAAAAGCAAGCAAGATTTAGGGGAATATATACAGAAACAGGAAGATAGTTGCTATGTTCTACATCTTCTTCTTGGTTATAAGCCATGTCCTACCTCTTACTAGATGCTGTAGATAAACAAAGTCATGTTCTAAGAAATGGAGCTCCAAAAGATCTGCCCACTTTGCAAGTGTAACCTCCAGCTAAGAAGCAGGAACAAAGTTGCAACTCATTCGACTTTATTAGCAAGCTCAATCCTGAATCAAACAATTTAACAACTATTTGAGTTACTTCAATCAATGATCAGCATGCCAAACTTACAATGAAATAAAAAGAAATTATTATTTTTTATCATGCATCAGTAACATAACAATATGACATGCTAAAAATGTGCAGGAAAGTGTTCAACCAATTTGGACTATGTGTATGCATTTTTCTTTGCAAAAATCTAAATTTCAGATAATAAAGCAGAAACAGGATAGTGAATGATGGTTTTGGGTACTGGAATAGAAACTCAATTAGTAAATCAATGCAACCAAATTTATCAGTTTTATGTTCATTCTACAAAATCATCAGATGCAAGGTAACTAGCATAAAGAACAAAGGCATCTCCACAAGGATCGAGATTATTTTCAGTAAACAAACAGATAGATGCAGAAACAAGGGTTTGTAGGAAATGGAGTTGACGGGCTTCCAGCAGATATATGGCAAGCCAGAAAATTTAATCAACCCACTGTTCCCGATACATGATGCAATTAAACAAGATAATCAAGCAGGTATTGAAGGCAATTTCAAATCCCACCTCATGAAACCAATTGCAGAATTGCTTTTGTTCTCTTTTCACACAAAAAATGCATGAAAGGGCCAACATTTCACATTTACTTCCCAAGCTCTAAAGTCGAGCAGTATATTAAAGAAGAAAATTCAGGGTCATATCTTATTATCATTTCAAGAAAAAATAAAAAAGAAGTTACTGCAGAGTTTCAGAGCAAATAAAATAACTGGTACTAAAGTTCAGAATCAAACACCAGACACAAGCATCTTTAGTGCCTCACTTTGCATTTGGATCCAAGTAATTCACAGCCTCACGGATTGCATGAACAGTCATTTTCTTCACCTGTTACAGATGACAGTTATAAGGAAACAACATTCAAAAGATTAATACACTCAAGTTTTTGTAAGTCATTTAAGGAAAAAAAAAAGATCAAACTATAAAACATTTGTCTGACATGCTAACCTCCTAACCACTAGTTTAGCAGTGCACTAACCTCAATCAAACTAAAATTACTACATTGGACGGAATGAAATGAACAAAGGCCAATGTCAGCAAGAACTATTAACAAATATTGCAGATGCAGATGAGTGAATAAAATCAGGTAGAAACCAATTCATGGACTGTAATTCACACAGGAAGGAGAGCCAAACCAGATCAGAATTATTAAAGTACAAAACATGTTCTATCACCATGACTAGGTGAAAAAGCAAAGGCAACAGATATCAGGCAATGTCACAATGATCACGCACAGGTGATGGAAGCTTTCAATTGAGAGTATGTGGTGCTGCAGTGCTTAGGTTCCACCTGTATTCATTGATCATGGGAGCAGAAAACTAATGCTTGCATAGGTCTAAGTAACAATGATATAATATCAGTTGCAGATTCACACTGCATAGGTACAATATTCCAAAATCAGCTGGACAACTGAAAGTCTCTAACAGGCAAGATACCAGTAAAGCTACCCACAGGCCCTCTCACTATAAGGGCTAAAAGAAATACAAAGAAATTATAGCATCAATATTCCAATGCTCAAGAACTATGCACATACCTCCAATTTATCCTCTCTTGCCCTATGATCTTGAGGAAGTACACGAAATTCTTCTGTCAAGCGAACACACTCACCAACATTTTCAGGTGAAACAAAATCAAGTGCAACCTTTGTGCATGACTGTCAAATATAAAGATAAAGGCAAGAGCATCAGAGAGATAAGCCAATGCATATTAAATCATCACCAAAAGAAATCAAATTCATGCATGGTTACTAAAGGAAGGAAATTCACAGCATTGAAGACATTATGACAGCTAAGCTAAATTATAAAAATTGCATGATGGCCAAACAAGGTTTTTTTTCTGACACAGACGGTATGACCAAACATAAAAGAATCCATTCACCTATATCAGACAAGACACCAAGAAATAGAAGTATTTAAGAGTTTCAGAAATGTCCGATGTTGCTTCCCTATTAATATGTCAAACCACTCACAAGCATGACACAATTCAAATTGATTACAGAGAAGGATTCATAGGTCAATGTTTTTATAATCACCATGTTAATGATTACAACTATTTGCAGCAAGGATTCCCGATTGACACATTTGCTCAAATAAGCATACTCCATTACAAAATTGGCGAAGTGCAACTTTAGGTGATTTTGAGACGACAATTGAAGTAGAACCCAATTCCTTCTCAAACTGCAAAACCATATACTAGATGAGAGGCATGCCGATAAAAACATTAAAGACATGATTCAACTTGGCCATCCCTTTTACTTGAACGTCTCAATGGAATTCTACATGCCTTATGTTGACAACTTTACAAAAGGAAATTGTAGACTTCATATCGAAGAGATTTGGTACACAATTAAAATACAACATTAATTTCGAAAACATTCGAGGTACATAGTCTTTTTCAAACTTAAGTACAACAAAGATTGCTACATGTAATTTGTGTTACCTTAATGTTCCGGACTTGATGAGGACAACCTGCAGGTATAAAAACAGCCTCCCCAAGTTTCTGAACAAAAGTCCACGGTTCAATTCCTGCATGCCAGCATTTTATACCACAATTATCAAGGACTTATGTTTTGTATGATTGCTCCAATAGTATGTACTATATGTTTTAACATACCATATTCCTTCTTAAGCTTTGCCTTATGATCCAGAGTCAGAAAAAAGGTCTGATCATGTATTGGATGAAAAACCTATATCACCAAGAGACAATAAATTGTATAGTATAAATGGCCCATCAAAGACAGGAAAGTAAAAACCGATTGCCTAAAACAATTAATGTATTTAATTTTATGGCATACAAATATGCTAATAACAAATAGTCTTCACAAAGTCTGCTCTGTGAATTCCATTTGATTATATTCTCTACCCCCCTCAATAAAGGACAATACATGAGATCTGCAAGGAGTTACTAATTTCTCCAATTGTTGTTACTTTACATCCCATTGCTTTTCTTGTACATGTGTGCATGCACACACACTAAAAAAAGGATTTATATAGTTCATCATGCCCAAGGAACCATCATAGACATCTTAAATAGCAATTAATATCCATCTATTAGCTATAGCTCCGAGATTAGTTCATTTTCAAAAATAAAGAAAAGGGAAACAAGGGAGTTGTAGTCATCTACAAGTATCCAATCAAAAGAAAAGTTTATATTTTCAGTTGTCCATCCAAGCATCTGCAACAACTTCATAGAGTCTATTTGAATTAAAAGATACCATTGAAGTATAGCAGCATGATTTCAATTCCACTAATCTCTGAGCAGAAAACTTATAGATAAATACAATGTGGAAAGCGGATTCAGTTGATGCCCAACATATAGAAAAGAAATCAAATAATTAAGATAAAGTATTGCAGCTCGTTGCTGAATATATCATCAATTCAACAAAAAAAAAGGAACAAAACAAAAAGCTCCAGGCACCATATACAATTTAAAAAATAAATTACCTGTGATACTGGGCAACAATGAACATATCTAAACTCCCTGAAATGCTCTTTAAGGTAATCCTGCAGCTTGGGAACATCTTGCCTCCGGAAAATGTCCCAGATAGCACCTCCCTCAACAGCTTCCAATTCTTCAATCTTATTCCTAGAAAGTTCATACAATCTGCCATTCTCCACGCATATTTCTTGATCCACTTTTGCCTTCCCACTCTTTTCCATTTCAAATTCTCTCACCACATTATTGCCATCCAGGCTAGAATAACCATCTTGACAATCTTGTTGGACAATAGCATCACCTTCTTGATCACCACTTCTATCACTAGACTGCTTGTCGCAAATAGAGATGTCAAAAGAACCATCACCAGGCATATTCCTGCCAACCTTCGAACCCATTCCAAAAAGTTCCCACTGGTCTTGCAGATGGTGCCGTTGTTTTAAATTGTCAATGCTAGCAAGCTCTTCAGGTGTAAGCTTCAGCTCAGCAGTGTGTGTCAAAACATTCACCTAAACATCAATTTCAAAACAAAAACATACTTTAAGAACTAACAAATGAGGAAAATTACATAACTTTTAGTTTCATATTTCACAGTGCAGATGGAGAGGTAAACAGAACCACAGCCACTTCCAACTTCAGTGCACTTGCACAGCAACATAAAGCTCAAATTTCCACATCTAATGAAGAAAAGATGCTTAAATAGCACCTGAAGTCCTAAAGTAAACACACAAACAATAAAAACTTAAAGCATACAATCCTTAATTTCGAATATGTTATAGGGGAATGAGTATCTGAACTTGAAACATCCACTGCCAAGAATGTGGCTACACAAACTAGGATGTGCCTCAGCCATACCTACAAACGTAGATATAGAGGTATGTAAAGACATTTCCAGTTGAGCTGTGTTAGCAGAATGTAGAAACACCTCATTAGCCAAAAAATAATATAGGACTCAATACTCACACACAATTCATTGATCTCATTCTTGAGTTATAACATCCCAAAATCTACCTGCTAGTTTTTGCAGTCAAATTGTCAATGCAATGCCCTTACAACCCACATACCCATTCTCCAAGCCAAAGCCCACAAAAATGAAAAAGGAAAAGGCAAAAATTAAGGAGATATGCAAATGCATACAAAATCATTTTTAGAGGAAGTTATGTTGGCTCTGATCATGTATTTTAAAGGCATAAAAGGAACAGGAATTGTTTAAGAATTAAGCATCAGGCATGAACAATTAAAGACAGGATCTAATCTAACCATAAAACTGAAAGAATAAGCTATCACTCAAAGCTGCAAATTTTCCTCTTTGAATGCCTTCTGATCTTAATGTTAATACTTTGGACCAAGAAAACAAACTAATGTGATAATGACCTTTTGATCCAAACAGTGTCAAAGTTATTGTTAACTACAATCAAAAGACACCTACGTACTAAAAGATAGCATTACAAAAGTTATATATCTATTTTATATGTTCAACTTCATGATAATTACCACAAACATCAGTTTCATCATTCAATAAAACTTGAGCAAATTTGGGTATGTCTTAAGGCAGCTCTGCTTGCAATACTTCTTAGTGCGATAAGTTAGTTTTCAATTTGAAGTTAGTAGTGTTATGCACTAATTACCTGTTTTTTACTTGGTGGTTATTTGGTTTCTTTATTCTATTTTCATGTTTGCCATTTTTGGCAATTAATACAAACCTAATGGACAGCCCACAAACTTAGTGGTGTGGCAATCCCAAGTAGTGTTTTTTTTTTTTAATTTTATTTGTTTTTTTTTCAACATTATTTTTGCAAGGTTATAAAAGCCGCCATCCTTATTAATGACAGTGTGTGATTATCTTCCTCTTGTTTTAACACTAAACAATCTCTTAAATATCTCAAAATTCTAACATTGTATTAGAGTTGTCATATTAAGAGACTATGTTGGTATAATATCACTTTAAAAACCCCATTAGTTTATCTTCCTTACCTTTTACTATTTTCGAAATACCAAGAAAATGACCTCTACAAATTTCATTGTTGTTGCTCTACCCGTTTTTATGAGAAAATTACCCAATGTGGACAATAAAAATGAAAGTATATTTTCATGCGTTTGATCTTTGGGAGGTCGATGAAGTTGGTGAAAATCCTCCTGAGATGAGGCAAACAAACCCAACAATCATTAAAGCAGCATATCGAAAAAATTGCAAAAAGATATAAAACCTTATCTTGTATTCATTCCACTGTTTTTGACTCAATTTTTACTCGTACAACAAATTGTGAGTTTGCCATAAAAACATAGGACAAGTTGAAAGTTGAGTTTCATGACAGTGATAGGACTCGTCAAATATAAGTGCTAAATCTACTTAGAAAGTTCGAAGTATTGAAGATGAAAGACAAGAAAAGTGTGAAAGACTACTCAGACAAGATTTTGAAAGTAGTCAATCAATTGAGATTATTTAAAGAAGATTTATTAAAGCGAAGAACGGTTAACAAATTCCTTGTAAGCCAACTAGAAAAATTTGAAGCAAAGATATCTTCTCTGAAAGACTCAAAGGATATGTCCACATTGATTGTGACAGAGCTCAAAAATGCTTTTCAAGCTCAAAAGCAAAGAAAGGCTTTGAGGCAAGAAGATCATGTAAAAAATACTTTACTAGCACGAATAAGGGAGAGGAAAAATGGTGACAAGAAACAGGATAAGCAAAGGGCTCAGTACCTTCCTTGTTCATGTTGTAAAAGATGCAACCTTACTAAACGTTTTTGCTAGTATAGACCAAATGTTACATGTAAGTCTTGTAACCAACTTAGTCATGTGGAAAAAGTCTACAACAACAAAGCTGATCGAAGAGAAGAAAAAGCTACAGTAACCAAGGAACAGGAGGCGAATGAGATGTTATTCATGGCCAAGAAACTCAAGAGGTCAAGAAGCTCTAATGTTTGGCTTATTGACAATGTGTTCCAATCATATGAATAGAAACACAAATAATTTTCTTTCCTTGAACGAAAATTACAAGTCTCAAGTGAAGATTGGTACTGGTGAATATCTCGAAATTTTTGGGCATGGCACAATTGAAGTGCAAGCTCCCTGAAGTATTAAATCTATTTCAAGCATTCATTATGTACCTGAAGCTAATCAAAACTTATTGAGTGCTGACCAACTTGTTGAAGAAAATTATACTCTACTATTCCAAGAAAAAGCTTGCACAATCTTTGACTCCTCTGGTGTTGAGCTGCTGTCGATTTAAATGAAAAACAAATGTTTTCCTCTTGATTGGTTAAACATGGAGCACAAGGTATATTCATTGTGTAATCAATGAGGGCAAGCTTTCGCACAGAAGACTTGGGCATGTCAATTCCAAGTCTATCAAACGGATGATCACTGATAGTCTCGTTGAAGATCTTCCATTGTTGATAGATGAAAAAAAGATTCGAGATGACTTGGAAGAAAAATTACCAAAGCAATGTTTGGCTAAAGCACTGAAAGCTCATGAGGAACATCCCAATGAAACATCTGGACATAAGATTAATGGCATAAGTGTCCTTCAACAACATGTTGCCTCTTTTGGTCAAGACAACAATGGAATCATTTATCCCTAGGAGACTTACAAAGATAATATACACAAAGCTAAGCATGGGAGTGATTCAAGAACATATGACACTAAAGGATAGGTTAGAATTCCTGAGATCCAAACTAGGAGTATTGAAAGCTGACCCTAAGGAGGTGTGATGAAGTTATGCCTTACTTGCAATACTTCTTAGTGTGAAAAATTAGTTTTCAATTTGGAAAAGTAAGGCCATGAGCTAATTACATGTCTTTTACTTGCTGGTTATTTGGTTTCCTTATTCTATTTTCATGTTAGTCATGTTTTGGCAGATAATGCAAATGTAAAGGACAACCCAACCCATCAACTTAGTAATGTGGCAATCCCAAGTAGTTTTATTTAGTTTCTTTTAATTTTATTTGTTTGTTTTTATTCAACATTATCTTTTGTAAGATTATAAAAGCTGCTATCCTTGTTAATGAAAGTGTGTGATTATCTTCCTCCTTTTGTTTTAGCACTCAACAATCTCTCAAGGTATCTCAAAATTCTAACAATGTGCATAAATATACGTTTTGAAATTGTGCATACATATACTTGCAATCACAAAAAACAGGCACAGGCATCAAAGTTTATTAGTTTGACACCTAACTTTAATCTCATTGGCACATGGTCATATAGATATATCAATAACTCAAGAAATTAAGCACAAAAAGAAAGTTCCTTCTGGTTATCCAACCTAATAAATTTTCTTCTTCCGACTGAATAAATAATCTATGAAGCATTAAAGTTGTTATTAATAAAACTAAAGGAAAAAGTATATACCGCATCAGACATATCACAATGAAGCCTGGTTACAGAGTCTCCACGCCCAAGCTCTTGAGAAACTCCATAAGCAATATATGACTTTGGGCCCATATCTGGCTTTAAAGATTTCTCTGGTAATTTGGTAGCCATATTAAGAATGCCACTTAGAGAATGGGTATATTCCTTAAAAGGCAAACAACGAAGAAACTCCACATGATGACGTGGAAGGAGCTTCTCAAATTCATTAGAGGGAGGCCAATCTTTCAGCTTCAGTATCTGCGGCCATGATTGTATATCAAATCGACCATCTGTATACCCTTTAAAGAATTGGTGAATATTGACCATCACCTACATTTCATCAAGAAAGATGATTTTAGAACAAGGGTAATCCAGCCAACAAGCAATTGAGAAAAGAGAAGCATACTTCACTATACAAGCCAGAATTCCAGGAAGATGAGATGCAAAAATGGCAAGGATATCACAAAATCAACAAAGTATAAATATGGACATATTATCCCATTCTCTTAGCTTCAAGTTACAAAAGATATTGAGATGTGGACATGTCCGTACTCTGTACTCTACATAATACTAAATTAAAAACAATTGTAAGTCATGAAGAAAAAAAAAATTTATTTCAAACATGACACCTGTAGTCAAAACATATTATAATAAGAAAGTCATTTGCAGTGAGATCAAAGATTAAGTTGACTTCTGCAGTAGTCAGTTTAATTTACACACCTTGGTACAATAAATAGTACATAATCAAGTTTAACATCATATGCTAATAAGAACTAGTACAGTTGATAACCAAACTGACCTCAGACCAATCTAAGCAATCAATGGCCTTAACTTCCAATTGTTGGTCATGTTTAGTATGTGTAATCTGACGAAAAGCACGCCACATAACCATTGGCTCCCAACTCAAACCAGATGTATTCTCAAGTACATCACTGACAATAACAGGCTCACCATTAGCCCAGTGCCTTTGGAAATGTTTCAAATCACCAGTTTGAATATCTTTAGCTTTTGGACAATATAAATAATTGTCAGTGGCATCTTCACGAAAAGCTGCTTTCCTTAACTTACCATTGCCAGTGCGAACTTCTCCCATTGAATTGTAACAAGGGCACTGTTGGTTAGAAAATTCAAGAACATTCTCAAGATTGAGAGCTTTGGCTATTTTCTCAGCCTTTTCTGTTAACTCAAAAATAGCATTTTCTGTAAACATACACCTTAACTCCAAAAGGCCATTACCACACCCATCCAAATCCTTCGGGGCACAAGGAATGCTACCATTTTCATTTTCCTTCCACCTAGAAGTTGCAGCTTTATGTTCTTTAGAATTAGTTTCCTCAGAGGAATCTAAAGACTTCCCAACTTCTGAAGACATAGAGCACTGAAGTGCTCCATGCAAGTAAGAAAAACCCCTATCAGCATATTCCATAATTACTTCCTTTTGTCCACCCTGCAAATGTCCATCGCGGATTTCACGGCAACATGTAAGGCAGAGATCATAGTTACAATTAGAACAACTTCTATGAAAGTCGACAATTGAAGTTCTGCAGTTGTTACTGCAAAAACATGTCTTGCATCAGGAACTTGATAAAAATAGAGTTCGAACAACAAACAAAATGATCCTCACTTTAATTTCACCATCACTATGATAACAACAGGAACCTACCAATATACACGCTCATCTTCAAGACAAACTGCCTGCTTAAGCTGTATTTGTTCTGGGAGCATCCCTACTCATCCAATAAATGAGTGTTAGATATGATTATTAGAAAACAATCAGTAAATACCAATGCAGTAACATGACATGTACATATTAGATAACAAGAAGTTTACAATCCTGGTCACCAGTTCAGTGTCCTGATTTTGATAGGGCTGAAGAAATCACATTTTTGAAATGATGGTGGTATAAATAATTCTTAATAAACCAACCAGTATACTACCACCAAACTAAGGTGAAAATTGAAATTGTAATAACAGGTTCAAAACTTTCATATGATGCTCTAATTTACTGAAGGCAGAATAGTAGGATTAAAAGGGCCAGCTGCCATGCCATGAAGATACCTCGCAAGCAGATCCCTTAAAATCAAGAACACTCAAAATTAATATCTTATACCAATAAGAAGCTAATTCAAAACTTTGCCATCTTAACAACAAATTCTGTCAGCTTGATTCAAAACTTTTCCATGTTAACAACAAATTCTAACAGCAGGTATCTGGAATTTTCTTTTGTCAAGCTTCTTCCCTACAAAGACATAGAGTAACCTTCAAACAAAACAAAGAGCCATCTTTAATAACTACATCAACATGAGAAACAGATTTTTGACATCATTTTCAGGATCCTTCTCTCAAAAGAATTTATGATTTTCTTAAAAATAAATTTCAACATTAAATTATTAGATTGTAATCATGCCTCCAGATTAGACCCCATTTAGTTTGCATGAGAACATCACTCAATTGCAGGAAAACATGTCATTCACATAGAGATATAGATACCTTGAATTTTTGACTCAATGACCTTCTCTTTCATTTGCTCTTGACTAAATTGTTTAATGTACGGAAGAAGTGCCTGAAGCAAGTATCTAGAGTGCTGAACCTTTTCATCATCACTGAACTCCAACTTTAGTGTCTTTCCCAATTTCTGCAACTCATCAAGTATACAATATCATAAATCGAGTATTACATATATAAGCATCAAAAGAAGCAGTAAAGCCATGAATTTCAAAACTAACATTGAGAAGTCCAGTCATGCGCAAGCATGCCTTGCAATTGCAATTATCCCGACAAACTGGGCAGGCAGCAGCAATAGCATCCTCTGACATCTTGGGATACCTAGTCCCAGGAAATAATATACATAATCAGTTGAAAAGGAAACAGCATACTCATGATTAAGATGGCAACAATCAGATTGAAAAGTATCAAAGTTCATGGTTAATTAGAAATTGCATGCAATTCAAAACAGCATTGCATGTTCAATTTTATAGAAACCAGCCTTGATAAAAGAAATTTAGGACATGGATTATCAGCAATATAAATATCTTAAGAGGAAAAGTAGTATTTTTTTAAGCCATATTAATGAGATAAAGTAGACATTAACTAGCAGAATCAAATCTAAGAAGACACTATTTTTTAAGGAAAGAATAGACAAACTTAATGCTCCAAAAAAAGTACCAATTGGTTAAGCAGGGGATGCAATATCGTTTCCTCTTGCAAAGTTTGCACCTCACAACCCTGCCTTTATCATTCCTCTGGCACTGATGGCACATTAATGATTCGTCTGCAATCCACTGTTGAAAGCAAAAAGAAGCACAGCAACACTTCAATCCATCACGTAACCAAAATGAAAAAGATATCATAGCAACAACGCAAAAATTAAAAAGGGTAATTTGTTACCTTAGCAAAATTTCGCTTCTTTGAATATGGCACAGGCTCTTCTCTTGTCTTGCAAACTCTCGAGGCCCTAAGCGAATATTTTGGTTCAGTGTTCATTCCCAAAGACTCCTCCTCTTGTTTTTCCAGACTTTTCCCATTTCCTAAAACTTCTTTATCCATCTTCTTTCCATCCTTCTTTGCCCCTCTTCGACTCCTCTCCTTTCCATCATCTACCCCTAAATCACCGCCTTGCTCTACTTTACCCCCCTCCTCCTTTACATCTTTCCCTTCATTGTCTTCACTTTCGGAGACTTTTCTCTTTTGCCTACCCCTTCTTCCTCTCTGCTTTGTAGGTATTTCAATATCTTCGTTCTCATTATTACCATATTCTTGACCTTCAGATTTAAGAACTTTCTCCTTCTGCCTACCCTTTCGACTACGCTTCTTTGCCGAAAACCCTTCATCTTCAGATTCTTGAACCTCAGCATAACTAACCTTCTTAGCAACTGCTCTCAATCTCCTCTTCAAAACATCCCCACTATTTCCTTGCCCATTACCATCAGCACCCCAATCAACTTCCTCTTTGATACTAGCTCCATCTTCTCCATTTGCTATCTCTAGATTCTCAACAAAACTCAGCCTTTTTCCACCTTTCGGTTGAATCCCATTTTCCTCCAATTTCTCTCCAACTTCTTCCTTTTTTTCAGCCACAAAATCCGAATTTCCCTCAACATTTTCCTCTTTCACAATCTCCATTGTGCCCCTTTTTAAAGAAACAGTCGCTTGCTTTATCTGTCTACCTCTTTTAGTAGGCTTCTTTAAAGCAACCCCTTCCTCATCCCCTTCTAAATCCCCACATTTCTCATCCTTCCTTTCAATCCCCTCCTCTTTTCCTTCTACTTCCCCTGCTTTGTCCCCATCCATTTCACTGTCATGCTCCTCTTGTCCCTTCCCATTTATCCCTTCAACTTGGTCCTCCGCATCAGCGCAATTTTCTTTACTTCCCATAACTTCACCATCGGTTTGCGGCACTCCTTCGCAGATGCCGGGCGCTCTCTCCGGCTTCAACCTCTTCCTTGGGCGTGCCATCCACAAACAAAATGATCTTCTTTAAAATTATAAGAACAAGATTAAGCCTCAATCACCAACGAGAGTCCTTAAGAAAGAGAAAGAGAACTAAGAACATCCCTTTTTTTTTCCTTCTTATGTGAGTTTCTAAATAAAGTAAGATATTTTAGTAATAAAAAGGATGATCGAGTACTGTAGAGCTCAGAAAACTGGCGCCAACAGCCAATAATAGAAAGTTTCAAAATTAATATGTATGGTAGAATTAGGGTTAGGGCTGTTTTTTTGCTTTAAGTGTGGGTTAAAACTTAAAAACATGAAAAATCAAAATTTGGGAGGGAAAGCAAAATTCGCCCATTGATTTTGATGATGCTTGATTTGAAATGAAGTGATTGCAAAGTAGGAAGGCGCAGTGTTTTAGAAAATGGTAACCCATCGGCTAGAAATTGGAGCTACCCACTTCAGTCCAGACCAGACAGACATTAAAAAAGGTTGGAGTTTTCGAACTTCGATGCAAGAACAATCGAAGAATCCGGAAGCTGTCCAAGTGTGTCCCGGATTCCAACTGCGAGATCGTAACCTACGCTCAACTAAATAAACTTTCGCACGCGTTTTAAATTTCAACTGTGTATTTAATTTGCTAATGTTTGTGTACATGTTTTATAAACCCCTAACAACCCTTTCAAAATAATTAAATATAATATTAAAAAATAAGTTAAATGATTAAATAAATTTTTGAATTACATTGAAAAAGTTCATTAAACTCTTATAATTTTATTATAAATTACTTTTATTATCACTTTTATGATGTCACATAATATATTATCATATCAAGTAATAAGTGACATAATATTCAAATTTATTGTTTAAAAATTATGTATTAAACTTTTTATTTCGTTATATATCCAAAATTAATTGAACGAGAAATTTGAAAAATAAACAAAAGAAATTAAAATGAAAATTAAAAATTATTTATCCGTTAATTTATTTAATAATTTTTTATTATTTGATCTTGCAGTAAAATTGGTTGTTGATTAAGAAAGTTATGGAAAAACGAGTGCATAGTCGGCAATGGGTTTCGTTCAAGACCAGGAGAGATATGATCATCCTTTCTGCAGAATACAGAATTGCCGTGCGAGTGTTCTACTTTGAGAACAACTTCACCCTACTTTCTATTCAAGATATGAAAAGAGTTAACCAGACAGAGGAAAGGAACGGATGAAATGAATATTTCCCCCTCAAACTTCCCAGCAACTATCAGAGTTTAGCTCTTCTTTTTATGCCAAAACTGGTTTTCGCAACAATGGCACATTCAATGAGGGTAAAACATTTTCCCTCAATTTGGGACAAAACAATGGAAATTTTATATAAAACAGGTCCACCTGAAACTAATTCAGGAATTTTCTCTTCTCTTTGGAAAGAAAAAACTAACTCACAAGACCTCTTTCCTTGAAGACGTTAAGCATTGCTGCACCAATCTTTGCAGGTGATTCAACAACCGTCACTCCAGCCTCCCTTAGAGTCTTGATTTTGTCCTGCGCCGTGCCCTTTCCCCCAGAGACTATAGCTGTTTGTACAAAAACGAGGAATATCACAAATTGTCAATTTCAATTGTGTATCCTCTTAATTTTGATACATACACACATTAGGAACAAAGACAACAATTTACGTTTCTTCTAAATTCTCAAAACATGACACCTTTATTGTTATAGGTAGAACATTCTCCCTTTTCCAGTATAAAAAGGTCTTTGAATTACCTTATTTTAGCTTATGCAAATGTGCATACAAATAGTTGTAAATGCAATCATAAATCTAATAAGCAAAACATGGAAGCAATGCATTACCTCCAGCATGACCCATACGCCGTCCCGGAGGAGCAGTAAGTCCAGCAATGAAGGCTACAATAGGCTTCTGAGTGCCACTTTCCTGTTTCATTTATTAAACAAAACCAGATGTTAAATTCTCTACTGAGAAACAAAGAATATTCTCCAGCAATTTGTAGTTTTATACAAGTGCAGTAGAAATGTAATGAAGAAGGTTGAATGTTACCAATTACGATATTGCTCTATGAAGCAAGCATATATATTTGCAAACATGCCCATTAAATCTATGGAAGTAAAAATTAACTAAAGCAGGATGGAGCAAAACCAATTTAGCAAATATTCACAGAAGAACTAACACATAGGACCACAAGGATAGAGGCGCTAAACTATGTATTCATCATATATGCATATATGAGCACAAACATATATTCATCTGTGGATCCACATATCACAGAGTTATATAGTCATCACTGAATCAAATTATGTGTAAGAAATCCAATCAGATACGTAACACTAAGGCAGGCCTCAAACAAAAGTGCAAGATGCAGTCCAAGGTATAATATTGCTATAAGTTACAGTCAAGAAATAAATATAATTTTACTAATTAAACAGATACCAGATCCCCACCATATTGCAGACCTTAAGCATATACTTGCACCATAAAAGGGTTATAATTGCTCTAGATATTTGTATTCTCTTCCAACTAGATATTTCTTCATTTATATTTCCTTTACCTGAAGGTAATTTACCTTTGGCCAAGAAGGTAGGATAAAAATTAATGCTTAATATGATTTTCTTTACGAGAACTAGACCGTAGAAAACATGAATCCTAAATCCTGTTAAAAAATTTAGATGTTATCATTTATGCAAAATAGGACTATTTCCAAGACAATTATGAGCTAAAATATAATTCAGCAGATGTTACATTTACATAGAAGATAACTGGCTATCTTATGCTTCAATTTTATCCCAATTGAGGAGAATGAGAGAAGCCAAATTTGTTAGTTGCACAAGTGCTATTAACTATATATTATTAACCAACTCTGCAAAGTAAATGCAATCTTACTAAATCAAGTGAGAATCTGCATGAAAAGTCTACTTTTTTTCGCAACATACGTACAAGCAGTAACTAGTAAGTACTTAGATCAAATTCTGGAACAAGGAGTCCTCAGTTCCTTCATGCTAAAGTATTAACATTACCTTTATTAGTGCAGCAGCATCTTCTTCTGCAGTGCCCCCTATCTCACCAATTAGAACGATACCTGAATGCAATTGAAATAATTAGATGGTATGCATTCCTATTTATAATCAGTTTAAAGAAAATCTTTACATCATTAACTTTCACCATATACTTCAACTTAAAAGAAGAACTGTAAAAGATACAAAAAAAAAAAAAAATAGAGAACTAGCTATGGTTTAGATAAACATTCAAGATGCCAAACCCATAATGGACAAGATACAGCCACATAGTAACAAAGACCATTTAATTTAATAACTACAGTTGAATTAACAATAGTCACAAAAAACTAGTAATAAAAGTAGTCCACAAGAAACTCCCACTTATGATCTAAATGAGAAAAACATTACCTTCTGTCTGAGGATCATCAAGGAATTTTGTCACACAATCAACGAAGTTGGTTCCGTTAAAAGGATCCCCACCAATTCCTACACAGGTTGATTGCCCCAGACCAACTGCAGTTGTTTGGAAAACCTACGAGATAAAATGACAAATATTTTTATCAACAACTTACAAAAAGAGAGTAAATCATGCCATCAGCATATGCCAAAACGGTGTTATTTTAGTGCAAGAAACTGCTTTATATGAGTTTCTTGAGTTCTACAATGATTCAAATTCGATAGCTATCAGCCTATGTATACATTTACTGGCTATTGGGACAGATTAACTTCAGATCCAACTCATATTAAGAGAGCCAATTCTATTTATACCTCTCAACTACTTTCATCGAATCAAATTGATCACTTCTAAACTTTCTTCTTTGACACATATTCTTTACGAAATAGAAAATTTTAAATATGCGAACCCACTCCAAGTTTTCTGTAATTTAGATATATTAAACGGAAAGGGTCATGTGAACGGTACATAGACAGAAAAAATAGAGAGACATGTAGTTGGTGCCAACCTATGCCGGAAGAACAAAGCCCCATCAGTGAAAGAACTACAAGATTTAAAAATAGTGAAAGAACTGCAAGATTTAAAAATAGTGAAAGAACTACATGCAGTGGCTACCAATGAAATGCCTACATATTCTGTTAGGCAGAAAGATAAAGGTTCACAATAGCAAAAGGCCTTGATAATGATAGGACTCAGGAGGATTAGAAAGCAAGCATGTGAAGATGTATCATCAGGCATATAGATACTAACAAGGAGACTATTAAACATATATGAATGTATGAAAGTGATGAAGTAAACAGCCAAAATAATATCCAACAAAAGAAGTGTCTTACTGCTTCATATGTTAAAGTGCCCGATCGAGAAACAATTCCTATGCGACCTGGTTTGTGAATATATCCAGGCATAATTCCAATCTTGCATTCCCCAGGTTTAATGATACCAGGGCAGTTTGGACCAATCAGCCTGGTTTTTGATTGCTGATTAAGGGCTGCCTTCACACGAACCTGCAGGACAAAGATAACAGCCTTAATCTCAAAAAGATCAATTTAATTTCAATCACAAGATATAAACTGTAATTTGGGTCACCAGTGCATATTGCCAACATTCTCTTGGAAGTGCACCTAATGGCAATAAGATGACTGAAATCACTTCTAAAATGAAAAAAAAAAACGATAAAAATCCATTTCCAGAGACAAGGAAGCAGAATTATAAATTTATACACTCAATTAAACAAACAGCTTTCCTTCTAAGTTGCCTTTAATTCATTTACCATGTCATGTTGAGGAATTCCTTCCGTGATGCACACAACAAGATCCAATTCAGCTTCCATAGCCTCCATGATAGCAGCCGCAGCAAAAGGTGGAGGCACATAAATGACAGAAGCATTAGCCTTGGTTTCAGCCTTTGCTTCGGCAACTGTGTTGAAAACAGGAAGTCCTAAGTGCTCTGTGCCACCCTTCTTTGGTGTAACTCCACCAACCTATCAAACGAGAAATGAGACAAAATTAAGGACTGAAAAAGATAACTGTAATTAACAAGCAACATCGGATCATCTCCAAAATTCATACAGACATAAGGAAATAATTGTAACCTTACCATTTCAGAATTCACATAATATATTACAAAACTAACACAAACCCAATTCTCTGACATATATAAAAAAATCATGTAAAGGTCTTATTTTTCCAGCATTTTCACAATTCCCCATCAAGTATTGTAGTAAACAAAACTAGACAATAACAGATTCAGAAAATTAAAAAAAAAACAGCAACAAAAAATCCATGAAAATTAAATAAGGTAAAAGTTTAATGGGAATATAAAGTACCATCTTAGTGCCGTATTCAATGGCTTGCTCGGTGTGGAAAGTTCCATTCTTTCCAGTGATGCCTTGGCAAATGACGCGAGTATTCTTGTCCACGAACACCGCAGGTTGAGGCGCTGGAGCCGCCGAGAAAGACCGTGAGAGAGTCAAAGAAGAAGAGGAAGTGGAGGAGAATGGACTGAGTGGGGATATTTGAGGGTTGTGAGGAGAAATCTTGGAAGACAAGGATTTGATGAGTCGTGAGGCTTGTCTAGCCATTGCCGCTGCTGTTGATTCAGTATTGGATCTCCCTTGCCTCTTTTGCTGCAAAATGCAAAACACGAATGCCTGACCAAAATATTGCGTAGAAAAGCCCTCTCTCCATTTTGGTCAGCTTTCTATTTCCATTTTCGCTATGTAATTATTTTTCCATAATTGTTTTTTTTAATTTTTGTTAATGGACTTTCATGGGCCGTATTTTGGGTCTAAATTGAGCTATGACCCGAAAGCTATTAGTATCCACTTGGTCCTATTAAATATCCAAGGGGAAATAAAATTTTTTGATCAAAAAATTAAAATTAAATAAAGAATAATCGTTTTTCTTTCCAAATCATTAAGGATGGAAATACGAAAAAAAAATGAATGAAAATAGTTAATAATAAATTTTTAAATTAAACAGCTAATATTAGTAGATTGGATATTCTTCTTTGTGGAGGAATTAGTATTTGAAAAGCTCCACATGTGGGTAAGTTATCATTCTCTTCTCTTATTTTCTTTCCTATCAAATGAGTTCAAAATTTTAAATATTATCTACACATGCACTATCTCTATGAGCCTATGACTATGATACTCTCTTTTCTTTTCTTTTTTCCCAGCAATTTTTGTGCATCAATCAAGGTATATAAACAGGGTTATGCCAATTGAATGCTTCACAAAGAGTTTTTTTATATTTTTTTTTTCTTTTGTTTCTTGTTGAAGTTTACTTATTGCTAGGAAAGTAAAGAGGAGAGCAGATAAACCTGACAATTAGTTGATAACAAACATGATTTTAAACATGGTAAAATGAAATACTGAGTAACTTTTAGTTCTCCTGCTTTTGCTTTACAATTCAATTTTGATTCTCTCTGCTATGGTTGTATGAGGCCTTGATGATCGGCCTGTTGCTGTTGCGGTTGCTACTGCCGATAAGCGCTGTAAAGGGTACGCAACAAGGTTAGCACCAGACCTACCTTTAACAGAATCTCAACAACTGACCAGACTTAACAGAAGCTTAGCAGCAGACAGAGCCTATCAAATCAGAACATGATTAGCAGATCATGTAAAGAATATGCGGCAAATTCAGCAGACCAAGTCAGAGCAAGTTTAGCAGAGTAATTCAAATAAGAAACCAAAGTCAACTACAGTTCAACCACAGCAGATCACAACGTCTTCAATCAGTTCAGCAAATCAAGCCTCTATATCTTTCTGTTATATGATTTTTGAATGTAACAAATTCTTATATTTAATCTAGATAACAATGTACTGTAGTGTATGTCAGTGACTGATCGATACAAGGCTTATTCCATACAAATGATCAAATCGCATACCGCATCATCCGGGATATATTTTCCCCAAAACTAATGTGCCTTCCACATTGTGTTCATCTTTTCAATTGGGACATTATTTGTCTCGGGCAAGAAGAGTTTAATGAAGATAGTCATTATAACCACAAAGCCAGCCAAGAAAAAGAAGAGTCCAAACTTCATGTGGGAAGCATGGCAAGGATGATGTTCCTCCATGGCTGTTGCACCTTCTTTGCGGCTTCGCTGGCAACAACGAGGTGTTGGAATTCCCTGTCAACATTTTCTATGCCACGGATTTTTTTTAGCATTTCTTTTGCTTTCTCAGTGTGGCCTCTATCGAGAATGGAATTGGGAGTATCTGGTAAGAAAAGAGACACAATGGTCGTCATTATTGCAGGAATGGCTGCAAGGGCTAAAGAAAGTCTCCATCCCCATCCACCCTCCATCTTTGCTGTGCTGCAATTAATGAGTATTGCTACTAGAATTGCTGCTAATCTTAGCTGGCATTTCCGATAAATAAACAGGAACAGACTGCCAATGGATAAATATGCAAGTCATATTTGAATATTTTGGGAGAGAAATGATCTAGCTAGTGGAAAGAAGAGCAAATATTTACCTGATTAGCAAATCCAACATCCACAGCAAGCAGCAAGCGGCCTATGATTAGGAGTCCAGTATTCATGGCGATACCATTGAGATTTGAGCCAACAAGGAAAGCAAGGCCTCCAAAGCACATGGAAGCTTTCCGTCCAAAAATCCTAGTTACCATTGAAGCAAAGAAGAAAGCTACCAAAGCAGCAAGGAAGAGGGAAGAGGTGAACAGGGTCAGTAGCTGCCCATCAAATATGCAATACTCGCTTTCATGTCTGGTTTTATCATTCATTGTTTTGTATGCAAGAGTTGTTCCGTCGAGGTCACCCCACGTGCAAAGATTACAAAAGTTTCAATTCAAATCCTGAATTAAGTATTAAAAGAAAATGATGGTAAAACCAACGAAATTGATCCAAACCCGATATTCCAAGGTTCTAACCAAAGAGGAGACCACCCATGGCAGCAACCATACAATTAGTAACCATGACCAAGGCAGTAACAGCGCCTTCATAGTTCCTTCCCCTACCTTGAGCTCCAAAGCCTCCTCCAGCTATCTTTCAAAACAATGGGAAAAGCCCTTTAAACTTCTCAAAACCAGTACATATAATTCGATGCCTTTGTTTCACCTCTTTTGTTTCCTCCTTATGCAAAATCAAGCGTGTTTTTCATTAATTTATATGCCGTCAAACACAAGAACTGCATCAACAACTTTGTTACAAAAATGGAGGCAGAAAATCTAAGTTTTTATCCAAAATTTTTGCTCAAAACATTTTCCCTCATCCAGTTTTTGGATATGCAATTGAATGATAGCATTGATCTCAGTGTTGGAAGACGAGTATTTATGTTCTGAGCAAAATTGTTTGGAAAAACTGCTAACTAAATGTCTCTTTTCCAATTGTATCTTAAGTCTTAATCCCCATAACACACTGAACAATAGTTTATCGAGCTATGCTGCGGTTTCCTTTAATTGATAAACCAGAACTTTGGAAGTACTTCTAATTAGTAGTACTCAAATGTCCACTTCCCTTTTTTTTTTTGTTTTTTTCTTTGAAGAAAGCCCATTCAACTCATCTTAATCCTTATTGTTCCGAACGAAAGATCAGACCAACCGGGTCCAGTGACCAATGTTGCCTTTCGTTGGTAGGGTCGGTCCAAGTCGAAGCGGGTCGAGGTGGAGTGTTAAGCTGGCAACCGAAGAGGATCCCTTGCACATTTAGAAGTCCCAACAATATTGGAGACTTTGAAACTTGCAACGTTGACATTTCAGACCAAAAATATCTTATCCTCTCTGTCTCTGCGAACAAGTATCTTCTCTTTTTCCGATACAAAATTCATCTTTCTCTCTTATCCTTCTTCTTTGGAGGGGAAAACAAAAGAAAAATGCCTGCAACATGCTTCCCTTTATACACACCTGCAATTTCAATCATAACCAAAAGCTCAACCCCAAAACCTTGCACTTTCAGTACCTCAACTTCTAAGAAGTTGCCAATACATCATCACTCCTTTGCATGCAAAGCCTCAGCTTCGCCATCTTCTTCCATCATGGATTTTGATCTTTATGATCTTCTAGGCATCCATAGCTCCTCGAATCAATCACAGATTAAAACAGCTTATCGCGCCTTACAAAAGCGCTGCCACCCTGACATTGCTGGGCCAGCAGGGCATGACATGGCCATCATTCTGAATGAAGCTTATTCAGTTTTATCTGATCCAGGTTCACGTTTGGCTTATGACAAGGTTAATTACTTAATTTGCGGCTTTTTCTCCCCATCTTGCCTATTTTAATAGGACATAGTTTTCTTGATAAATAATTGATTGGGGATCGATGTGAAGTGCAGGAACAAGCCAAGATGGCAGAGCTGAGGGGCTATACGGGGAAACCTTTATATTCAGTGTGGCATGGAGCAGAAAGTGAGCAACGAGCAGTGTTTGTAGATGAAGTCAAGTGCGTTGGTTGCTTAAAATGTGCCTTGTTTGCGGAAAAGACGTTTGCTATTGAATCTCTATATGGAAGAGCACGAGTTGTGGCTCAATGGGCTGATTCTGAACACAAAATCGTGGAGGCGATAGAAGCTTGCCCTGTTGATTGCATTTCGTAAGGATTTTGCTTTTAGAATAAGAAATATATCTATTTACTCTGTCTCCAAATTTTGCTGTTATTCTAAGTTTTAGTACTTATAAGAAAGATAATTGACAATGAAAGTGGCAACACTGTTACCTCATGGGATTGATATGGATTAGCATGTATTTGTTCATTAGATCTCTTTTCTGTTAAAGCTTTGTCAAATGCAGTTTTCAGTTTTCATCCTTGTTTTCTGAACTAATTAAACAACAGCATTGTGGAGAGGTCGGACCTCGCAGCGCTGGAATTTTTAATGTCCAAGCAACCGCGAGGCAATGTTAGAGTTGGTGTAGGCAACACAGTAGGAGCTCGTGTTTCAAACATATTTGTTGATGTGAAGAAATTTCAAACGAGATTTGTTGATGCCATGGACAAAGCTGCTACCAAAGAATCCAAGGTATGGGCCTAAATAGATACTATATCTTAAAGTAATGAATCTTTTTGAATCGATTTTGCTGTCAAATGCCACAAGTAACTCTGCAAGTGAATTTCAGGAGGCAGACCTCCGTAGAGAAGCAAGGATGTCAGCAATTCATGCGATCAAATCAATTTCAAACTGGTGGTACTGGCAATCACCCAATGCAGGAACACCAGTAGCAGAATCTCAACTTAGCTTGACACATGTTCCTCCAAAGTCATCAGCACCAAACATTAACAAGCTCCGCGATGCTGCTGCTGCTAGAAAACAAGCAAGAGAGAGTTCAAGAGCCATCGGTACTCGTATCGCATCAAGTTATTTGTATCATGATGAGTATTGGATGCCATCAAGGCAAGCTCTTCCAACTTCAATTTATAACAGCTCTAGCTCTAAAGTTGCATCAAAGCCTTTGCCAATTAATGAGAGGAAGGAAACAGACGATAAAATATTTGAAAAAGATCAGAGGAAGAGGAAGCCGGTTGTATGGGGAATTCCAATGGTGGCCGCAATAATTGCTGCTGTTATAGTCCGGCAACAAGTTGGAGACAGAGTGGTTGGTGAAATAACAGAACATATAGGCGGTTCTTTGGCACTAACAATGGTTAATAGCTCTTGGCTACAGGTTATATTAGCAGGAATTACATGGTATTTGATCGGATCTGCAATGGTGGAGGTAATAGAAACTATTAGGAATAGGTGAGAAAGTTACACTGAACAGGAGGAAACTTTCATTGATTTATAGTATATAAAATGGATGTAAAGTTCATTTGCAAAATGACAAAATTTCATAGCTAAATAAAAAGTTGATAATTATTGATTTGTATGCAATTTTTACTCAGCCAGCACCGAAACCTGTAATTAACTTTTCATTCCTTGTTCATATTTAATGTGAATGGTAAAAGAATAGAAAGATCAGAACAAAATCAGTCTCCAATAAGGAGAAGAAAGAATAGAGATCCCTGCTAAATCTGAGTTTTCTGATAAAACCATTGGTAAATTTTAATCAAGATATCAGATATACAAAAAAGAAATGTATTTCATTATTGAGGAGTTACAGATACTGTAATTTGGAACAACATTTGGTGCAAAGTAAGGATCATAACTTGCCAGAAAGATATTCAATCCATCCGTCTACTGTGGCAAAGTATTTTCTTCGCCAGTTTGAACTGATGCAAAGTGGTGCAATGACACTCCAGAATCCGACAGCATATGATATAAACACTAGTGAATAGAACAACAAGTGATTATGAAGGACGCTGTCCTCTGTTCTTTCATTGGGATTTTCTTTTCTTCCGCCGTCTTCGTTGTTGTTTCCTGAGCATTTTCTTTGTAATTGTTCTGCACAGAGTTTTTGGTTGCCTTCGAAGCTACTTTCAGAGAATGTTGAAAAATGTTCATTATATGGGATCCTTCCTGAGAGGTTGTTGAAGGCAACAGAAAAAGTTGAGAGAGTATTGATCTGGACAATTTCAGGAGGTATCTGTCCTGTTAGGCTGTTGTGGGAGAGATCCATACTCTCCAAATTGGTGAGATTTTTGAAGGATGTTGGAATATGACCTGTTAATAGGTTTTGTGACAGGTTCAAAGAATGCAGTTCTGATAATTCACCAATCTCGTATGGAATGGCGCCAGCCAATCTATTAACTGAAAAATCAATCCCAGTCATCAGAGTAAGGGGGATACCTTGGTATGAATATGAATTCCCCTTGGTGGTGAAATCAACTGGAACCCATGAGTTTGCTTGGAACTTCTTTCTCCAGACTGAATTGTTATTGAGGCAAGAAGGAATATTCCCTGAGAATTTATTTTTTGAGAAATCTAAGAACTGCAACATTTGCATTTGGCATAATTGGTTGGGAAGATGTCCTCTAAACTGATTTGCTCCTAGAAGAAGTGCTCCTAATTGCATGAAAACTGGAAGATATGAGAGGGTTCCTGACAGTTGGTTATGTCGTACATCTATCAGCTTCAAAGACAAACTGTTCGACAAGCAAGCTGGCATATTCCCCAAGAAGCGATTATTGTGAAGCAGCAACCATGTCAGATTCGGAAAAGGCTCGCCATGCAAACTATTGTTTGACAGATTCAAGTACCATAATTGGGAATTCTGGGTCAGACCAACTGGGACTACTCCAGAGAGGAGATTGTTAGACAAGTCCAAGCTTTGTAGATGTTTCAGTTCACCTAAAGAAGGGAGAATATCACCAGAAAATTGATTGGAGGATGCATTGAATTTATACAGCTCTGGGAGGACTAGAATGATATTTGTGGGCAGGTGCCCATCCAAATGATTGTCAGAGATATCTAGGTTGGCAAGTGTTGATTTATTTTGGTGGCCTAGAGGAAATTGACCAACAAAGGAATTGCCTCTCAGGCTTAATACAGAAGAAACATTATGAAGCATCCAAGTGGGGAAGTTTCCCACCAGAAAGTTTCTGGATAAATCTAGGTTTTGCAACTTATGTTGGGTAGAAAGGAACCTAGGAATTATGTGACCACTCTGACGATTGAGGTTGCAGCCTGCCAAAAACAAATGTTGCACTTGGAAAGAAGGATGCCAAATTGGAGTTTCGGTTTCAACTTCTAATTGGTAATTGTACGAAAAATCTAGATGACTAAGCTTAGAAAAAGTTGCGAAGATGGAAAAGGGCAGCAGACCTTCAAATAGGTTATGAGAAACGTCAATTACCTCAATGTTTGATAGATTAGCAAGAAAGGAGGTAAGGTTTCCCTTTTCAGAGCTCTGAGTGATGGCATATTGCCCCAACAGGGTGGCACAACATCTTCAACTGAGTTATCTGAAAGATCCAGCGATTCTAAGTAAACGAGTTCACAGATTGCTGCATGACAAGCCAAGATAGTTTTAAGAAATTACTCATAAATAGCTATTAATTCAACGGCAACAAAGACTTAAAACTAAAGCAGGACTGAAAACCTCACCTTCGGGATTTGTCAGTCCACCAAAATGGTTGCCTTTGAGATGCAATTCCTGCAATTGCTTGAGTTGAGAAAACAAACTCATATCCGGAATCCATAGATCTTCATCCTGCTTGATATTGTAAAAATAAATTCCAATCACATGAGAGCTTGTGGGGCTACAGTGAACCCCTTCCCACCTGCAACAGTCATCAGAGTATCTGTCTTGATAAGAGCCTATAGATTCTGTTATATCCTGAAGAACAGTCCTCTCCTCATCCAAACAACCTAGGCTGCATCCAAGGTTGCAACAGATTATCATCGTTATAAACAAAAACAACATCCCACTATCAGCAGAGAAATTGTTCATATTGATGGGCCCAATTATTCTAACAACAAAAATCTGTAACTTTGTTTTCTCTTTTATGAAGTTCGAACTCTTTATTGTCTCAAATATGAAACCTTATTGAATATGCCTAGCTAGTGTAAAACTTGTGACTAGTGAAAATTGGAAAGCAGCCTAATTGTTCAAACAACAGTCCAGGAACTTAAAAAAATAGCGGACACACAAACTTGGCCACCAATTTCTAGTCCTTACTCAAATCAAAATAAAATTTCTAGTCCTACTTTCACACTCCAGTAACACCAGTCCTATAACACTTCGGGAGAAAGACTTCCCAATTCAAAAGTTAAACCTTTGCTATTGACCCTTCTGATTATCGTACAATCTGATAAAATACACGGGAAATTTCCCCAGTCAAGGGAATCATACCGGTGGACTGACTAATCCCAAAGGTGAGGTTTCCAGTCCTGCTTTTAGTTCAAGTCTTTGCTGCTGTTTATAATAAATTTGCGTGGAATTGCTGGGGAAACTTCCCAAGTTGAACTTACAGGGTCAGTCATTCCCTCCTATTTTGCAGTAGACCTATTTTCAGTGTTGATTGGATGGAATAACACGTTCTTTCTGTGGTGCAAAAGAGACATGCTTTTCTAAATTCATTTTCTCCTCTCTTGACCATCTCCATCTGACATAGACAACCGAAATTTCGGTACTCGAGCGAATGGACTAGCCCAATTGTTGAGTTGATAAACACGAGAAACTTTAGTTGGCGAGAAGAAAGAGCAATTCTGTTTATAAAATTTCAAAGAGATATTGTGCCTAGTTAGGATGTTCAATAATTTCATTCTCATCATGGAGATCACTGCTGTCTATCGGTGCTTCTTATTACTCTTGCTTCTATGCATAGTCCTTAATTGCCGAGGGTGCATGGATGAAGAAAGGGATGCTCTCCTACAAATTAAAACTTCAATAAACAGCCCAGATGGAACTGCTTTCTCAAGCTGGTTCGGAGAAGATTGTTGCCAGTGGGAGGGTGTTGAATGCGATGCATCCACGACTCATGTCAGTAGGATCTTATTTCAACACCAAAGGGATCAAAGCTTGCTTGAAAATTGGTATCCAAATGCTACCCTATTTGCTCAGTTTAGGGACTTGAAAGAACTTGAACTGCCAGGGAACCGTATTGAGGGATTCACTTCACCTGACGGTAAACACTGTTACTTCACTCTGTGACTTATAATTGGAACTTTCCCAATATATATACTGATTTTAAGGTCTGTACTGTGCAGAGCTTCAAAAACTCAAGCACCTTCAGAGGCTAAATCTGCACGACAACTCAATCGAAAACGCTTCACATCTCTGCTGGGGGAGGGGGCAATTACCTTCTCTTTATTCCTTAGATTTGTCCAATAACCAGTTAAAAGGTTATCTTCCAGAATGCCTCCGTGGTGCCCTGTCCTTAACGGAACTAATCGTGTCTCATAACTATCTCCAAGGAAACATCTCTGCATGGCTGAGTAATATGACTTCCCTCACGCTTCTAGACCTCTCTAACAATCAATTCAGTGGTTCCTTTCCTTCCTTTCTAGTCCAAAGCCTAACAAATATTGAGACACTTAAATTGTCTACAAATCAATTCAAAGGCAGGGTTTCATTTTCCAGTTTTGCCAATTTATCGAAGCTCAGTTCGCTTGACATTTCATACAATGCCCATCTACAGCTGGAAACAGAGTCCCCGACTTGGTTCCCATCTTTCAACTTAACTGTGCTGAGTTTATCTGGTTGTAACCTACGAAATATCCCCAGCTTCGTTTTCACACAGAACCACCTGAATTCTCTAGATCTATCAGACAACAATTTGAGTGGTCCATTCCCTAGGACCTTCCGGAACATAAGTTCACAGCTTGCTTCACTAGACATCTCCAACAATAGCTTCAACGGGCCATTACCTGAAGATATCAACTTGATTTTTCCAGAGTTGCTTTTTCTAGACGCATCCTTAAATGTCTTCAGAGGTGGCATACCCCCATCCTTTTGTAGATTAAAACGACTTCATACTCTGATCTTATCAGGCAACAAATTACGTGGAGCGATTCCCTACCTTTTGACAAGTAATATGAGTTCCCTTGAGTATTTGCATTTGAGCAACAACAACTTGGGAGGAGACGCACTTCCCAAAATTCAACCCAAGCTTAAGGTATTAGATCTTGGCAGGAATGACTTCACCGGAACCTTCCAAGATAGCCTGTCGAGGAGTTTCTCACAATCGCTCGCATTCCCTCAATTAAGAGTACTCATTCTTAGTGGGAACCGTTTGCAAGGGCAAATACCGCAGCAACTGTGCCGAATGAGACGTTTGAGTGTATTGGATCTTTCTAACAACAATCTTTCTGGTAACATTCCCAATTGCATTGACAACATCACTTCTTGGACAGCAGTGGACCAGAGCCGTGCTGTTCATATATATTTTATCACCGCTTTAGATTTGTCCTGCAATAGATTGACTGGTTCAATACCCCTCCAAATTACACAACTGAAAGCAATCATAGCGTTGAACATGTCCCACAATCTTCTCACGGGTCAAATACCGGCATCCCTGGGAAACTTAGAAGCGCTGGAAGCGTTGGATCTTTCCCATAACAAGCTCTTTGGTGAGTTATCCCAAGAATTAACTGCTCTTATATTTCTCGGGTTTTTCGACGTTTCTTTCAACAACCTATCAGGCGCGACACCACAAGGAAATCAGTTTAATACGTTTCAGAATGCCAGTTATGTAGGCAACCCCGGTCTTTGTGGCTTCCCACTAGAAAGGAAATGTGGTCCAGATATACGGAAACAATCCCATGTCATGTCAAACATGGCCAGAACGTACAGTTTGCTATTTCATTGCGCATTTCTTATTCTTGTTGTAAATGTCAGTTTCCTCTTTTCCATAGTATAAAAATTGATTGAACCTCTATGCAGACAATGATTTGCATCTTGTTGCACATGCTATTTATTTTTAAATTTATCAGTGATATACTACTATTGATATGCATGTTAATATTTGTTGATTATTGAATTCACTGACAGTCCACAACTTTTAATTAATATCTCAGTGTCATTCATAATCTTAAAATTTTAAATGTTTAAATGCTATGACAAGGCCTAGATGCGATTGTTACGTGAAATGAACATGATCTGTACATAAAGTTTTCTTTCGTGGAAAGTTGAATTAATGATAAATTTCTATATATTGTTGCTTCAATCACTCGAGAATGAAATTCGCAAAATAGATTAAATAGATTTCATTCTTCTTTTAGCATATAATTGGCAATGACTTTCCTAGAAAAAAAATGATAATTACTAATTCTCAGAGATTACAACCAACAATCACCTGTTTCTTTCTTTTGTTTCTTATGGGAACTAATATATAAAAAAAAATTGATATTTAATTTCATGCTCGAACATACCATACCTTCGGCAGCAATGCAGCACTCGAATGTCTGAAGAACAAGCACAAGATGCTATACCGGTAACATACATCACAAACACAGGAAATGCTTCAAATTTTCATCTCAAATATTAGTCAGGTCGAGTATCCTCCAGATACATGCAATCATTGCCAATGACATTCACATCTAGATAATTTCTAATGAAATACTCTGCATCAAGTTTGCAAAAGTTGATCATATATCTATCTGATCAACTACAGCTTGCAAGAATACTCAGTAGCGGTACTTAGTAGAGTAATCTTTTGGAGCAATTACTAGACCGCGACCCTTCCTTGCCCCACGATATACAGTCTCAACAATGTCTATGAACTCCTGCTTGTCCTTGAGAGCCCAGTTAATCTTGTTGTTATTTCCAGTGCCAAGGTCAATCATAATATGCTTGTTTCTGAAGAAGAACATGACTGTGGAAGGATCGTACAGCTCATACATTGTGTTAAAATCAGGCACTTCTGTTATGTCCACAAGATAAATCACAGCAAAGTTCTTTATCGTTTCGGCAACTGAAGCAAGCACTTCATCCATCTGAAAACACAAATCAAATTACCTAATTGAGCACAAATTAAGTATAACAATAACACTCTTTTCATTCCAGAGGAAGGAAAAGCAAGTCAAAAAAAACAACCACAAAATCTAACTCTCATCCAAGTAAATATAATGCCAGTTCGGTCTTTAAGTATTTGACCAGAGGGCACAAACTAATTGAAGAGAAAGCTAATAAGTTACTGGTAAGTGAGAATAGAACTTAGTGACTACTTCATTGTCATACATTTCAGTGAAAAGGTGGAAATTTTAATTTGGTGATTGAAACAACGCTTCAGAATATAAACCAGAAAGTCATTATCAAAAGCTCTGAGTCATTCCTTTTTGCTCACTTGAAAGGGATACTAACTATCTACTCAGCTACACCATTGGGCTCAATAAGATGACAGAACAATAGTGAGTCATTATCAAAAGCTCTATCTATCTTTCCCTTTCGCTAACTTAGAGAAGATTCTAACTTCCTACTCAACCAAACCATTCGCTCAATGAGAAGATGACAGTTCAAGTTCAAGCCATGTTGATATTGAAATATCAAATGATAATATCAATTTTGGTTTTACGTCAAAATATTTTTTATTTGACCTAACAATAACCAAGAATTAATTTATTTATAAAATGATTTATGTTCCATTGAAATTCATGCGTAATTCATTTCATGAGAGATTAGAATTGGAGAAGAAGGTAAGGAAAGCTACTTAATAAATATCTGACATTCTACATAAAAAAAAAGAAACTCTTAAAAGAAATTAGCTTACTGGCCACTATGCAGAGGTTCACCTAACAAAATTACAAAAATAAAACCTGGCTTTTTTCAATTTAGAAGTGCTTTCAACTTAATAAACATAACAGGGGCAGAAGACATGTTTTTAAGAACTAAGAACGGTACATTTTGCATAAGCAGGACGAGGACAGCAAGGAGATGTGCAATTTTCAAGCATCTTTCCATAACAAAGTCATCTCTGTCACCACATTTCAAAGAATGCAAAGAAGGATGATCGCCAACAGCACCAGGCGGTTGAATACCAATGCAAGGCCGTTGCTTAAAAATTAAGAAAGCTTTAAAAGGGCAAATTAAAGCAATTGACGGTAACCATCCTACTAGTATAGTAGAAAGACCTATCGCCCTGTGAAAGTCTTGTGCTTGACTAAAATTTTGTTAAACAATATCCAAACTCACTAATTGCGTATTATAAAATACTCGAAACAATCAGTTCACTAACAGAGTCAATTCTCATCGAATTCCCATCATACTAAATTCGATGAATATTTTCAAACATATAGGGAGCATAGGGTTTATTGAATACTTTTTCTAATTCTAGTGATGAAACTGAAATTAAAAAAAAACCGGCACAGGTTTTCCTAAGAAGAAGAAAGATCCAGGAATAGTATGAAATTTCCCTAATCAAAGAACAATTCGAACTAAAAGCGATTGAGAGAGAGAGGAGAACGACGTGGTGTACCTGCATGCAGGTTTCGTCCCAGTCGTGGCCGAATCGGATGACAACAAGACGCTCTTCCTCCGCCAGGATGGCCTGATCTACAGCCCATCCGGAGTGCAGATGTGGTAGCAGATACGACATCGTTACTTCGTTACCCCTCCTTCTCCAAAATCTAAATTTCCTTTTCACCGTTGAAATGCTTTTGCCCTCTAATTTTGGGCCTGAAACCCTAATTTATAAACCAACCATTTTGAAATGTCGGTAGAGTTAAGACCAATGCGTTGACGACACGCAAAGTCGGCGCCATCGAGCATATTGCTAACTAAAATTACTCATAAAACCTATCAAAACGCAGCGTTGGGATCCTCTCCAATAGAATGGTTTACCCTACACCCTATTGCAGGAGATTTCAGTTCACCAAGCGGGTTATGAACGAAGATATTTAGAAAATAAAAAAAGTAGATAATTAAGAATTTATTGCCATGTAATAGCGTGTACCTTACTTGAGTGTTCTCTTCTTTTAGCAATTCTGCATCCGCAAGAATTCCTACGATAATATATGCACCAAGTTAAAGTAACAATGGAAATGCCCACAATATTTATTTCTATTTATTCATCTGAATTCTGAAATAAATATACCTTCAAGAATCAACACAAGCGTGACTTATTAAAACACATGCAGGCTGGATCCAGTCACAAAAATGCCACATCAATAAGGGAAAAAATTATCAGATCCCACAATAAGGATGATGACTCGTTGGAAACTCTTGGTTAATCCTAAGAGAAATTAATTTTGTCACATGATTAAGGAAAAATAAAGGAATTTAGAATCTTCTGGGGTGCCTACCTGCATGCAGGTGTCGTCCCAATCATGGCCGAAACGGAGGATGACAACACGTTCTTCCTCGGCGAGGATGGCTTGATCGACGGCCCACCCTGAGTACAGGTGCGGTAGCAGGTAAGACATCTTTTCTCCCCCACTCTCTCTCTTTCGCGTTTAAGGTTTTTTGTAACTTCGTTTCCCTTGTTGCCCAACAGCCATCTAACAGGGAAAGGTTGACGGTTGTGTCTTACTTCTACCATTACTTAATTATTAATAGGATGGCGATGAAATGAAAGCTCCGGAAAGGTGCTGAGTCTTCTGCAGTGCAACGGTTTGATGCTACTCGCCACTAACATGGTGCCACATGTCTAACTTATGGATCAATTCTGAGCCCGGTCCCAGTTTTATTTTATTAATTAAATAATGTATTTCTTTTATCAAAATGTTACTCGTAAGTGACAAAGAAGAGAAGATGCCTCTTGCCCTGCCTTTCCTTTTATTCATTTTCAGATCAAATCTTTCCTCAGATTAATGGCGTCCTCCTTAAAATGCTCCTCATACAAGAAATACGAAATCAGAAAGCGAGACCCAAACCCAAAAACTTCTGCTTTATTAGTAATCGACATGCAAAACTATTTTTCCTCTATGGCCAAACCTATTCTCAACGATGCACTCACCACCATCAACCTCTGCCGACAAGCTGCAATCCCTGTTTTCTTCACTCGCCACTGCCACAAGTCCCCTGCGGACTACGGCATGCTCGGGGAGTGGTGGGACAACAATCTCATCTATGACGGCACCGTGGATTCCGAGCTAATCCCGGAGATCGGACGCCTAGCCGGAGCCGACGAGGTGGTAGAGAAAAACACGTACAGTGCGTTCCAGAACACGCGCCTGCAGGAGATGTTGCTGGAGAAAGGAGTGGAGGAGGTTATAGTTACGGGTGTGATGACGAATCTGTGTTGCGAAACGACGGGTCGTGAAGCGTTTGTGAAAGGGTTTAGGGTGTTTTTCTCAACGGATGCTACGGCTACCTCGGATTTGGAGTTGCATGAGGCTACTTTGAAGAACATGGCTTACGGGTTTGCTTACCTCGTCGACTGCAAGAGGCTTCAGCAGGGGCTATTTGAGAATGAGCTAAACTGATAAAGTGAATTTGTTTCCTATGACCAAGAAATTGTGTAATAACCTGTGTCATTTCCCTTTTTCTGGGCTAAATAATCGGTTTCATTTCTGTCATCTTCTTTAATTTTTTTTTCTTTCTTTTTTCTTATATCTATGTATTTTGTAGTTGTATTTGTTTGAATTATGATTTTTCTTTGCTTATTTTTCCGTTCGTATTTCCGAAGCATTCTGATCGTTGAGATAATATTGGCCTAAAAGTATTCATAACTTTACATGAATTTTGTGTGTCATAATTCAAAAGAAGGCCTACTTATGCTGAATTATTTGTTTTCAAAACCAAATAAAACAGTAATTAACATAAAACTTTCTTCTTTTATCTTGAAGATGTCTATCAAATTGGGGTATTTGATATCCTAATCAAACCCTCTAGTTTGCCAACATTGGGGCAGGATGTGACGATTCCTATTGGCATTGGACAAGAACCTGGACAAAAAAAAAAAAAGATTAAGGGACGTTCGTGAAAGAGAAGAGCAATATCGGTTCATCTTTCAAAGATCAAGGGTGAATTGGTCAACTTTTGGGGATTAAAACACAGTTTTTTCACCAAGTGACTATGCAGAGAAGGCAACTAAATAAGATTCGAAGGTTGAAAGATGAGAAGAGGGAATGGATTGATGAGGAGAGCAAGATTATTGAAAGTTTTGTTCAATTTTACAAGGAGCTGTTTCAATCCAGTGGTCACAGAGATTGGTGAAATGTACTAAGCTATGTCCCAAGCTCGGTTACTAAGGAGGTGAATGAAAACCTAACTATGGAAACGACCGAAAAAGAAATATTTGAGGCAGTCCTTCATTTGGGCGCCTATATAAGGGCCCGGGCCTTGATGGATTTAATGGTTTTTCTTTCAAAAATATTCCAAAAGGTACTGAAGGAGGATGTTCTGAAAGCTATTAAAGCTTTTTTCATAGTGGCAGAATTTTTGAAGGAAATTGTCGTGATTCCAGAGACCAAAGCCCCTGAAAATGTTCACGGTTTGCAACTTTACCTATAAACTGATCCCCAAAGTGATGGTGAACAGAATGAAATCTTTCCTGGGAAGTTTTCATAACAGAATCAATGTGCTTTTGTTTGGGAAAGATAGATTCACGATAACAAAGTGGTATCGCAAGAGGTATTCCACTATCTGAGACTGAATAAGAAAGGAAGGAAGAATGATATTGCCATGAAGGTGGATATGAATAAGGCATATGATAGGGTTGAGTGGGAATTTTTTAAAGGCTGTTATGCTTGTGTGTGACAACTGTGTCTTATTCTTAACCTTCAATCCTAAGTCTTCCAGGTAAATTTCTTCCTCCTATAGATTTTAGGCAAGCTGATCCTCTCTCTCCATATTTGTTTCTTGTTGCTGTTAACGTCATTTCTAGACTGGTCCTTATTGAAATTCAAAATCACAACATTAAAGGTCTTGAATTGTCAACGAATGTTGAGTATTGTACAGGAACATAGCAAGGCATCAGGGCAAATATTGAATCTAGAGAAGTCCAGCATTGTATTTAGTGCCAATACAGAAGACTAGAAAAGAGATTACACAGCAGAGTGCCTTGGTATCCCAAAAGTGGAAAATTCAGGTAGCAGAAAACCAGGGACTTATCTTGGTATTTCTTCCTTCTAGTAAGCTGTGGCTTATGTAAGAGATCGAATGCTCCAAAAACTTTGATCTTATGGAGGAAGAGAAGTTTAGGTCAAGGCAGTGGCATGTGTAATACCGACATATACTATGGCTTGCTTCAGCTTGCCTAAGAAGACGTGTGCGGACTCAACCAAGCCGCTGCAAATATTTGGTGTTGACGGAAGGAACAAGATGGCAGAATTCATTGGAAGAGTTGGAACAGTCTTACTAAGGCAAAGAAGGATGGTGGAATGGGATTTAAGGACCTGGTTCTCTTCGATAAGGCTCTACTAGCTAAGCAGTGCTGAAGGTTGTTAAAGGATCCAGAGCAATTGTGGGCTGAAGTTCTCAAAGGGCTATATTTTCCTCATTCATCAGTCTGGGAGGCAAGTGGAGGGGCGAGGGCCTTGCGGGGACGGAGTAGCTTATTAGAAGGAAGGGATTTGATAGGGATAAAGCTTTGGCATTAAAAGGAGGAGCCTTCTCAGTTGTCCAGTAGAAGCATGACAAAGTAATTTTTGAGTCTGACTCAAAAATTGTTCCCCAGAATTAGGGAGGAAAAAAAATGGAAAACATCTAAAGAAGGTAGCCCTTTTATGAGAGGACTTTGAGGAATTGAAGAACAAATTCCATGGACCGGGAGGCAAAGCTACCTCTGGTAGAGCGTAGCGCTAAGCTAAGAAGGCTGCGGATTGGTTGCCAAGCAGTTCAGACAGGAGATGAGCCTGAAAGGATGGGTCAACAGACCCCATCTTCTTTGGTTTTCATTTTGAATAGAGGGGTTGCATCAAGTATTTTGTTCTCCGTATGATTAGGTAAAACCATACTAATACAAAAGAAAATTAAAAAGGAGCCTAAAAATATACCGTCTGCCAAAATTTACTTTCTCTTTGGGGCTGAAAAAAAAATGAAAAAGTTAAAAGAACTTGTAAAGAACTGTAGGGGAAGCAACCGTAGCGGATCAAAATCTTTGTAATCCCAATACCCTATCCACTATCTGCTCTCACCCAACTCTCTCCTTTTTTAACAGACAATAACAAGCAGCAATCCCTTCGAAGCCAATTCAATCTATCTGTCTCCCTTTCAACTTCTTCTTCTTCTTCTTCTCTCCCCTTCCTTCCTTCCTTCCTTCCTTCCTTCCTCCATTGAATTCTCTAGCTACTAATGGAGACGCCTTCTTCTTCTTTCTGTACAACCCACTGCGGCGGCCTAGTCAATTTTTGTGGTGGTGGCTCGGTCTCTGTTCTTGGCTTCCCTCTCCAACATCTCAACACTAGAGCTCTTGCTGATTCTAAGAAGAAGCAGAGTTTTGGGGTTATAAAAGCTACTATTGCCAAGACTGAAGTTGCTCTTCTCAGAATTGGCACTAGAGGAAGGTACTTTCTTTGCTTTTGTTTTTTTTTCTTTCTTTTTTGTTTTAAATGTGCCTCTGAATTGTTGCTTCATAATGTGGATCAATGATGCCTTTGTTTGTTGAATTGAAATGGGTTTGGCTTATGATGCTGAAAAGTAGTCCTTTTTATTAAAGAAAAGAATTTGTTGAATACTGGGGTGGTTTTCTTCTGGGTTTAACTTGTTATGGAAAATCTAGCTTTGATTTTGGCTAATTGTGTAAAGAACTAATCTAAGTTGCGTGGTTTTTGTAGTGTTAGACATGCTTACTGCCTCATTAATGTTCAATTTTGAATTTGTTGAATAGTTCGGTGGTGTTCTTCTCGGCTTAATTGGTTATGTAAAATCTAGCTTTGATTTTGGCTAATTACGTAAAGAACTGATCTAATTTGCGTAGTTTTTGTAGTGTTATGCATGCTTACTTCCTCCTTAATGTTCATTTTGATGTATAAATGTAGCTTGACTCTGATTCATTCCATCAGTCATTGATGTTTTTGTTATTGAACATTTGTTAGTTTCAGTTGTTCTTTTAAGATATTTCATGTCTTTCTCAGGTCATTCAAGTGAATAGATGGTCTTAGTTCATTTGGCTTATAATTTATCATTTTAAGATTGCTACAATTCAATTCAGATTGTTATGATGCTTTTGTATTCATTGATTTTAACTTGACAACATTTTTACGTTTTGATAAAGATATCTTGAACCTGTTCTGGCTATTTATGTTCTTTTGATGTGTAGGACAGCCCATTAGCACTCGCTCAAGCTCATGAGACACGTGACAAACTCATGGCTTCCCATCCGGAACTAGCTGAAGAAGGGGCTATTAAAATTGTTATAATAAAAACAACTGGTGATAAAATACTCAGTCAGCCACTTGCAGACATTGGTGGGAAAGGCTTGTTCACGAAAGAAATAGATGAGGCTTTAATAAATGGTGATATTGACATTGCTGTCCACTCAATGAAGGATGTTCCTACTTATTTACCAGAGAAGACAATTCTACCTTGCAACCTTCTGCGTGAGGATGTTCGTGATGCATTTATATCCTTGAGTGTATCTTCCTTGGCCGAGCTTCCTGGTGGGAGTGTTGTTGGTACTGCATCACTCAGAAGAAAGTCACAAATACTCCACAGATATCCATCGCTCAAGGTAAGTTACTTTGCTTTGTCATTTTAATATATTGTTAGAAAAATTAGCAGAGTTATTTAAGATACACTTTATTGGAAATCTAACTTCCCATCTGTAGGTTATCTTATATCTTGTGACCAGCAATTGACTTGAAATGTGAAAATGATCCTGTTTCTGAAAAGTAGGATATAGTAGTGCTGCATTTCATTTAAAGTGTAAATGCTGCAGCTATGGTGAACAGAGGATGCTGTCTTAGTATTCAAACATACAAATTTCTTAATTTTTTAGTTGTATAAATTTCTATTGCTTCTTATTAATACTTACATTTTGTACCTTTTGAAGGTGGAGGAGAATTTCCGAGGCAATGTGCAAACACGATTAAGAAAACTTAATGAAGGGGTGGTCCAAGCAACTTTATTGGCATTAGCTGGACTCAGACGCTTGAGCATGACAGAAAATGTGACTTCTGTTCTTTCAATTGACGAAATGCTTCCAGCTGTTGCCCAGGGTGCAATTGGAATTGCATGTCGAAGCAATGATGAAAAAATGGTATATTTTACTTTTACTCGATTAATGCCTGACCTAAAATTTCCATCACATCCTGGAGTTATTTTGTGACCTTTGCCCACAGAGCTTAATAACAGAGCAAAGATGGAACTCATGATTATCCGGCTAACAAGTGATGGCATCAAAACTAAATAACAAAATTTATGGGAAACAAAAAAAAATAAAGAAGAAAACCATTTGGCTCAAAGAAATTTTATATTTGATGATAATGTGGGCCACATTGATTTTTCCTCCAATTTTTGGGTTGGAAGAGATTAAATTGAATTTTAAGACCTGATAATTGAGCAGAGAAATGCTGTAGAAACCAGAAAATCAGAAGCTTGAGCTACATAATGTTGTAGAACAGAAAATACTGATGCAAGAGTTTTTTATTTCATTGTAGATTAGATGACCCTGCTGTTAATTTTAGACAGCCTATCTGGGCGTTGGCTCAGATGCTCATCTAAAGCGTCTTTTACTCAATTGAATAAGTTCTGGATCTGTTTATGAATTAAATTTTCCCAGTGATTTACGTCTTCCATTTTTGATGTAATCTTGAAAATTTTATTTGTATTTGAACAACCACTTAAGTAGTGGTTCTTGAAAATCTCATTTGATCTCCTATCGTTTTTCTTCCTTTGATTTGGTTGGTTCTAATTTATAGGCTAATTACCTAGCCTCATTAAATCACGAGGAAACACGGCTGGCTGTTGCATGTGAGAGGGCCTTTCTTGAGACATTGGATGGATCTTGTCGTACGCCTATTGCTGGCTATGCTTACAAGGATGAGGATGGTAATTGCGTTTTTAAAGGATTGGTGGCTTCTACTGATGGAAAAAGAGGTATGTCCATTGCACTCAAACATTTCAAAATCTCTATTTTCTTCTTTCTGCTATAATTGTTTGTTTTGCCTTGTAATGTTGTCATTTCTTCCCTCTCTCTCTCTCTCTCTTTATTTCAGTGCTTGAAACTTCTAGAAAAGGCCAATACACTTCTGAAGACATGGTAACGATGGGGAAGGATGCTGGGAAGGAACTTCTTTCTAGGGCAGGTCCAGGGTTCTTTGATTTTGAGTAATTTAACAATAATGTGGGGTAGAAGAGGAAAGCTCAAGGCCTTTGGTTTAACTTTTAGGATTTGTCCATCAAGTTTATTCATTCTCTTGAGCCTTTGTTTGTTGTAATTCTAGGAATAGCAATTGTTTCGTTAATTGTGTGAGTTAGAAGATAAATTTTTGATCAATGATGTGAGAAGGTTAGATCTTTTCGTGTAATTTTATATTAATGAAAAGCAGAAAAATTCTGTCGACTTATCTCTGTGCACATGAGCACGCATGGGGTAGTTTACAATAGGCGAGCATATATACACCATAGCTATGGATATTTTACTGCTGATTTCTGTGAGTTTCTTCAAGTTCTATGCGGTCAATACTTTTGTCTTTTCCTACTCACCTTTTGTTTTTTTTCTTTTTAATTCTTATACTTTATTTTTTCTGATAAAACTTTTTATCTTTATCAAAGAGAACTTATGAACATAGACATCTAACAAACAAAACTTAGCCTTTCATATATCCTAAAATAAAAAATTCATGGACTAAGAGATATAATTAACAATTACCAATAGAAAATTTAGATAAAGTTTCATCTGCTATTCAAAGTTGTTTGCATGCAGATTTAATTTATCAACCAATCAACTTCAGGGCTCTTGTTAACAAGTCTGTTAAATTGCATGATAGGACCTGCGGGAGCTACAATTCATTCTAATCTGTTTATTATTACTTTGATGTTTGCATCTGATCACAGCAATAGAAGAATCAATGCTGTACAAATTTAATGCCAAGTATCTTAACAGATGTGCTGCTGCAGCTACTGTTTTGAAACAAAATAACTAATCAAAAAATTTTAAATATAAAAGCAGTTCCTTGCAAGAAAAATACATTGCAATAGTGACTAAAACGGTTTTTGGGGCAATTTTTTGTTGGCCATGAAATGATCAATTAGCTGAAGAGACTCCTTGGGTTTAAAAGATGGAACTTCATGACCAGCTCCTCTAATGGTGACAAATGTAAGCCCGTCGTACTCAATCGTCCACCCACCAACCTGTGAAATTGGAATGCAAAAACAAATTTTCTTTTGACTTTATCATCATGTGAAAAAACAACTGGAGAGTGGAGAATGACAGAGGACAAAGCGTAACCTGTTTGCTGGTGTACCAAGCTGTCCATTCTTTAACTGTTTTTAACCCAAGCTTTTTCAGGGCGTATCTAGTTGAGGTAACTGGAACTCTCCCGTCGGTATCTCCACTGCAAAGACACATTTTTTCCATACAGCATATGGAATCAAATTGTCAGTTCAATTTAGGAAAAGTTCAAACTTTGTAAATTAGTTAATCTCGTGTAGTTTATGGTTGATATGATCCAGAAGTGGGAGTTCTAAAGACCAAGATGGGGAGTCTCACAAGATGATTGGCCATAAGATATCTTCAACAAGTTGTCTAGATGAATTTATGGAAATTTGTGGCTTTTTAGTTTAAAATGCTGGTGCTAAGAGTTTACCTGTAAACCCATGTGCGAATGCCTCCAGCTGCAAGCTTTTTGATTGTAGGAAGCATAGATGCTGGTGAATCGTTCCAAATTAAGATAGCGTTACTGCACACACCCCCCCAAAAAAAAACATCATACTTAGTGTACTTTCACATGATTAATGTTGATTATGTCCAAGATCAGCTCCTCAATAGAAAAGGGGAAGCTCTGCACACAAGGCTCCCGCAAAACTTGAGGCTTAAATTTGATATCTGGGTAAATAGAAATGGATTTAATACCTGCAGTGACTCCATTTTTGGGACTTTTTGGTAACATCGACGTGAAGTGCTGCTTGAACATCAGGCCTATTCAAGTAAACCTCTGTGTAGTCTGATATACAAGGGTCGTATCCTGCTAGTCTCTTGTGCCACCCATCCTGCACAAAAATCATTTTAACTGGTTTAGAATAGACAACTTGAATTTGAATTGGGACATATTACAAGCAATTAATCCTGATTTCTTTGCTGGAAATCCTCTAAATTCTGTGAAGAACTTACAAATTTAGACAACATCTGAGGAGAGATGCCTTTAATCAAATGGCGTTGTCTGCTACTACTGGAGTTACTATCTACACAGGTGGGAGTATACAAGCTGTACATGTCAATGAGTTTGTACACAGCATAGTATTCATCGAACGCGTCGTTGCAATCGTCAGATAACTCTTCCATGCTGAAGTTACATTTGCTTATTATATTGTCGTAAACTCGATCAGATATGACTGCATGATCCCATGCATACTCTATCATTCCTCTACTATTTGTTGCGTCGTCCAACAGTGCATTCCCAATCTGCGTCAAAGTTGAAGGCAAGCTAGGTTGTTAAGCATAACTTTATGCATTCTTTATTTAATAGAATTGCCAGAATCAACAATCAGGCAGTTAATCTCCATCGGAAATGTTTTATTCATGCTTCCATTGGTAGAACAGAAACGATTTTTGAAAGCATGTAAAAGGCTGTGGCTTTTTTAATCAAGCAAAAGCTGGGAAACCCCCAAGTTCTGTTAATTAAGGTTTAAGCTAAATCAAAGAAAATACTAGTAAAGAAGTAATTAATGATTAACCACAACAAAAGAGTCAAGTAGCGTATATATTGAAAGTCGAATCTTCTTTTGTAGTCAGAAAGTAAGGCAAAAGGCAAGCTATTAAATGACAGATGGATTCTGCATAACAAAAGGCATGCTGAACTTATCCCAAAGATTCTAATTACTGAATAGAATGTTAGTGCAATTAAACCCTTACAGCATATCCCTTTAGATTTATTTGATCTTCCTTGGAAGCCTTCTTGTTGCTGTCAAAAATAACCTCGGCTAGCTGTGGAACATAGTGCCCTGAATAATTCATTAAAAACCTTATAAACATTTTAGTGAAGGAAGTATTGGAACTAATGGAGATGGAATCACACACCGGAGGCGGAAAGAATCATAGAAAGACCAAGAAGGTAAAAGAGAATATAGAAATAAACTGCGCAAGGCAAAATAGCTGCGTGGGGCAACTTTGTCATACCAGCATAGCTTTCTCCAGAAATGTAGAACTCATGGGACTTGAACTGTGGGAATCTTTTGAACCAGTTGATAAGAAATGCATATGAATCCTTAGCTAATCATCCAAGAAAAAAAAGGGAGTGATCAGGATAGGAGATTATCTTAGAAACTTTGTTGCGTTAAAAGGATAAGGTTTACCTGTGATTGTATCACCAAGTGTATTGAAATCATTGCTAGTGTTGGTATAAGAAAACCCAACACCAAAGGGAGATTCAACAAACAATAAGTTGGCAGCTGGATGAGAAAACAAAAGGATAGAAATTAGTTCTGATTTTTTTTTCTCTCTTCTGATTATAATTTATTGAACAACGTAAACTATTTTCATGTCTCAAATGATTGAAACCACTATCAAACTGGGTTGATCTGATGTGTATTAACTTGGCACTAATTAAATGGCTTGTGTACGTATACCTTTGTTCCATCTATGGGGGTTGAGCTTTAGCGTTTTTGTGTCATTCTGAGGGAAGAAAGGCCCCAGCTCCTCTGCTGCTCCATATCCAACTGATGAACATCCAGGACCTTGGATAAAGAAAAAGGGCAAAAAGTTATTCTGATTTAACATATCTAGCTATTATGTCAACGAATGTACAGTTTCCAAAATACGCACGTGCATGCACCAAATTCTGTGCATTAAGGTGATCAATTTTTAACTTTAAAAGACTATTTTTGGTCAATCAATGGGATATCTTTTGGTTCTTCGAAAAAACCTTATTAACTCCTCCGCACTTTTTGACTCATTTAATGTAAGAATTCAATACTTCCTTTGCATTCCATATACATGCACAAATTTATTCATATACAGTGACTTGGACAAGATGTCTGTAGGTAGCAATAATATTGTTTAAACTACACTCTCACATAAAAAAACCAAAAGAAAATATTGAAACAATCATTATGAGATGACAAAGAGTAATAAATTGTGGGTGCTAGAAGACGAACAAGTAAATCAATATTGGTGGCCTCATATTGTGAGAAGCCATGATTGTTATTGTAGGTTTGTTGAATCTACTTGATATTCAGGAAATCCATGATTAGTTGGTTTGACAGTTTGTGGAAAGATGGGGAGGTTACACCTACATATTCTTCGCATTATTATATTGCAATTTTGAACTTAGCCAACTAAGCATGTTGCTTTAATTCATTGTAGCTCAGTACGAATACAATCTTGAGTAGATGGACAAGTTGAATAGAAATAGACAAATTTGGAAGGAAAAAAATTATCCAAATAAATGAATGAATAACACTACTCGATTGGTTAGCATAGAAAAGGAAAAGGGGAAACACAACTTTCTTCCAAGCAGAAGAAGGGACAAAACCGTAGGAAAAAGGATGAAGACCACAATTCTGACCAATGTGGAGATAAAGAAAAATAAAAAAGATATTTTCATGCAGCAACGGCGTGAAAGAAAGTCATGAGCCAAGTATAGAGACATGAGTGGTGATAAATGCAAAAACCAACAATAACGCATATTCAACTTGATTTGGTTTTCCCATCTACTTGGGCAACTAATTAATGATAAACAAAACATATCTGCGTCAGACGTTCAGAACAGGAGCAAAACTGGAATAGACAATAATTGAAATCCAAAGCAAATTCCAGGAGAACCCCTGGGATTTAAGAGTTACCTCCATTGAGCCAGAGGAGGAGAGGCTTTTTCTCTGGTTTGCTCGAGGCTTCAAAAAACCAATAGAACAGGGCTCTTCCATGACTCTCATTCACATTAACGTAGCCTGCATAGTGCTTGAACTCCACCGGAGGCTGACCTGGAAGCTTGGTGACCCTGTCGGCCTCTTGTCGAGCCAAAACCTCTTGGCTCAACTCCGTACCATTAGAAAAACAGTCAGGAACACTTACTCTGGCTATAGCGAGGCTAACACTGAGCAAAAGAAAAAGAAAAGTCAAAGAAACAGCTGCATTGGAAGCCATTGGAGACTCCTCGGCCAGCACTCGCTCTCTTGCTGGATATATTTATATGTGCTATGTTGTGTGAAGGATGTGTCTATATATAGAGGAAGATATTCAAGTGTTCAACGACAGATAGGAGTCATCTGTAATCAGATATAGATATTAATTTGAAAATGATTTATTAGGTAGTATCTTTTGGGTATTTATTATTAATTATTCCTCTTTTCAGGAACTGAAGTATACATGCATGCGTGCCTAAATATTATTAGTTGCTTAGACGGTAATTTAGGAGATTTATGAAAAGCGCCTAAATGGATGGGAGTGGAGGAGGAAAGCCACGGCCGGTCAATTGCTTCGGTTTCAAACCTTTGACAGCCTTTCGCCACTATATTAACCTTTTAGGCTCTCTTGTTTCCTTAGAAGCTAAAACTAAATATGGTAAAAATAATATATGTGTACATTGAACCCTTCATTTCAAAGTTTACAATATATATTTTGCCTTTTTTATAAACTTGAAAAGAATACTTTTTTAATGCAAATTAAAAGAAAACGACTTCTAATAATCTTTTAATGCATTCGAAGCATTTAGTTCAATGGTAACTATATGATATTCTTATTGAAAAAATAACAATATTCGATTTTTCAAATTAAAAGAAAAATTAACATAAATGTATATATTTGTAATTTTTTGTTGATCGAAATTATATTTGTAAAATGTAAGTTTATGTTTTACTGAATAAATAAATATTCGATAAAGATTACCTAAATTAATAAATAATTTTATAGATAAATAATGAGATATAAATGTAATATTATGAAGGACATAATATAAAAGTCGATATATATGAATACCCTAAATAAAACTAAAGTGAGAGTTATTCTAATCTATAATCTATCAATAATTTATGATCTGTATCATATCCATAATTCAACAGTATACATATAAACACAAATGTTGATAAAATTTTTAATTGACAAAAATGGATATATTTATTCATTATATTTTTAAATTAATTTTTTATTATAATTTCTAATTAGATAAGATTTATTTTCAAGATAAAAAAAATTTAAATTACATTGAATTGTTGTCATCAAAATAATTTTTTTTTAGATAATGTTTGTTTGGATAACTCTAATTTAAACATTTTAGTTCTAATTCTAATTATTCTTTGAATAACCCCTAGAATTTATCAAATAAGTGTGAAGTTAGAGTTTATTAGTAGTATATATTATCCAAAACTAGGGTTTGATTAGTCTCTAAATGTCATGGCATTATAATGAAATTCTAATCCTACTAGATTTTTACTACTTATTTGTGGTTATTTTCAAGTGGTGAATGAACAAAATATGTAGAAGTTGGACTAAAATTGTAGAATCCAAAATTAAATTGAAAGAGTTATTACCAAATGAAAGATATATGAGCATCAAGGAGGGCGTTATCAAGTTGGGTTATATATATTTTTATATTTTCTTGTTATAAAATGTATGTACAAAAATTTAATTTATTAGTTGATGCATGATATCTGAGATTAAAGTTCGAATCCCCCTTCTTCTAAATTTAATAAAAATGTAAATACATACGCTACATTTATATATATTCATTATTAACTTTTCATTTATTTAATTTAAACAATTAAAACATTAAGTCCTTATTAAATTCAACAATTAAAGAGTTATCGATTGAGAAGAATATTATGAGTAATAATCTATTCCAAATGTGAAGTGAATTTAATTAACAGGCAAATTATCTAACGTAATCCCTTTACGATTTCATTAATTAATGAAAATATTTAATTATTAATTGAGTTAGATGTAAATTTTTTATCGGACTAAACTTCTTATAATTTTCAATATATGTCTACTTCTAATGTTGTAATTATCAATTGTACCTACAAATTTGTACTTATTAAATCACTTCTAAATTAAAAAATTACTTATTTACATTTTAAAATTATATATAATTTCAAAAAACATAATAATTAATTTTCACGTGCAAGGCGTGTGATCATGTACTAGGTTTTTTTTGCTAATAAATTTTCCTCATTGGAGAAAGGATTTTACCTACATTCATTTTGTTGTTTCCCACATTTATTTATCCCATTTCCCCTCTTTTCGGCCATTGTAAAAGAATTAGGTAGGGCTGGCTGGACCCTGGAAAAGGGCATGAAAAGGCAAGTAAATGGGCTCAGATCTGCACAAATTTTGTGTTAGATCAAGGAACCATGTTTAAATTAAGGTCTAAAAACACGAGCTAATATGAATATTCGATTTTTTAAAAATCAACGTAAATTTTTTAAGAAGAGTCATAATTTATCTAAAAGGTGACGGATTTCAGCTTATTGTTGGCATTGAAAAGAATGTTGAGGAGCATAAGTAGGAACTTGGTGGCCTGCTTCTCTCATTGTGATGAAACTCAATCTTTCGTATCTAATTGTCCAACCTCCAACCTATGCATTTTTTTTATAATTGAAAAAAAGAAAATTTAAATTTTATTTTTTAAAAAGAAAATCATGTATCAATTAATGAATTACATGTTCGGATGCTGCGCATCCTTATTTATACTCAAATAAGATCATGTTTACCTTAAATGCGTGCTTCTATTATATGCATGCATGCGTGCATGCCTCAATACTACTATATCAAAGTGATAATTGTTTTTGTTAAATGGGTAATTACTTACCTCTTTATGGTTGTTCCAAGGAGTCCAATCTTCAATAATTTTCAGACCAATATTGTTCAATGTGTATCTTGCTGAGGTCACTGGAACTCTAGAATCGGTGTCTCCACTGAACACAAGAAAGAAATACATATACCATTACTATAGATTTATGAGATTTGCTAACGAATGTTTTTAAAATACTGTTTTAAGATTAGTTAAAATAATATTTATAGTAACATTTTTATATTAAATATAATGATTTTTAACATTTTATTATTTACCCATAAATCCACATGCGAATGCCTCCATCGCTGAGGTTTTTGAGGACTGGAAGAAGCGAAAGGCGGCAATCTTTCCATGCATTATTAACATCAGAGCTGTAGAGAGAAAAATGATAAATTATTTAATTCAAGATATATAACAAAATCAAATGATCAGTCATATAGAAATTAAGAGTGAGAACGAAAATGTTGAAGGGACGCAACTTGCTAGGGAGCCATGGCCCTGGTATTTTGGTTCCATTAGCATGCAATGCTTGTTGAACATCTGGATGGTAAATTATAAATGTCATGACGTGATTCGTCGTACATGGGTCGTAGGTGCCTGCACTTGGTATCTTGTGCAAAATCCCCTGTCAATCAAAGGGAAAGATTGAAGAATTTTTCAAATTCTGAACCCTGAAAGCAACATGAAATATATAGGAATTAATAATGAAGATTAATTAACACATACAATATTCGAAAGGGCTGCACTATTGATTCGGGACGTTAGAGCTTCAGCAGCAACGGGAGGATCCACTGTACAAATTGGAGAATTTAAGCTATACATGTCGATGAGTTGGTACAATTGGAAGTAGTTGAGCATTTCATACCGGCATTCATCAGTTAGGTTGGGTGCGCTGAAATTGCACTTGACCTTGATGGCTTCGTACAGGGCGTCAGAGATGAGTGCATGCCCCCATGCATAATTGATCATCCCCGTTTGATCTGTTTCCTCGTCCATAAGTGGATTCCCTTATCTGCATATGTGCATAAGATTCAAGGTTGATCAAATAAGTAATACACTTACTATGAAACCTTCGAGATTTGTATAATTTTCCTGGGTCGATTTTTGTTCTCATCGAATATAACCTCAGCGAGCTGGGGTACATAGTGTCCATAAACATGGGAAAAGAGGGGGACCAAGTCAAACGACAACAACAACGGAGAAAAAGACAACAGTTCATAATTATTATATGCATGAGCTACCAGCAAAGCTTAATTTCCCCTGCAATGTAGAATTCGGAGGACTTGTACTGTGGAAACCTCTTGAACCAGTTTTGGAGAAATCTGTATGAACCCAGGGCCAGAAGACAATGGAGGGTCGAGGTTAAAACAAGAAAATTAAAGCACGATCAGCATATCCTCAAAGAAAGTATCCTATATACGCTATATATCAATTCTCCACATGTTTATCAGTACTGTTATCCCCTTGAAAATCAAGAGTCTTATTTGAATATGAAAACCCTACACCTGCAGGAGAATCCAAGAACAACAAATTTGCAGCTGCTCATAATTACAACATGCAACGTTAAGAGTTAGGTATATAATCCGCAGTTTGTGCCAACTGCAATAATATTAAATTGTGCTCAGCAAGAGTCTAGCATCCCATGAACTATACGTTCATGTGCTGGGATGAGATACTGTTGAAGTTAAAGGGAACCAACTATATTGATTAAGAAGAAGAAGTTGAATGCAAGAAGCGATGCCTTTGTTCCAAGTGTATCTGTTGAATTTTAATGTTGGACCTTCTTTCACCAAAAATGGTCCGAGCTCCTGTGCCTCCCCTTATGCAATAGAAGAACACCCGGGACCTGAAAAAAAACATCACATACAATAGATCGCTCGCTGGCCCAGAAAACAATTGCCTGCTGCTACAACAGGAAAGTAAATTATAAAATAATTCAATCTTATACTCAATATATATATTACTAATACATATACCTCCATTGAGCCATAAAATGAGAGGTTTCTCTGCAGGCTTGCGAGTGGCTTCAAAAAACCAGTAGAAAGAGCCTTCTCCGTAACTGGAGGCTGGCTGGGATGTGATATAACGCGGTCAGCCTCCGGGAGAGCCTTAATTTCGGGGTCGAGTTCCCATGAGAATACTCCTGAGCACAGCACACGTATGCATAGGGAAAGGCACAGAGCAAGATTAGGTAAGGCCATTTTTATGGCGGTGTTCACTCTCGCTTTCAAGAGGGTCTAAGTGCCAAACCCTTATATAGAAAAAAGATCATAGATTGGTGACAAGAAGATGGGTTCAAAAATTTGATGTGATGTGTTTACAATACAACACAACATTGATGTAAACAATGCCTGCA